GGGACTTTAAAAAAAAGATGGCTGATACCAGGGGCGTTTCTAGGTTTTAAAAAAATCAGGGGCTGAACCCGAAACATCAGGTGCTGGGGTGGGTAATAAGATAACATGATTGGATACAGAGAACTACATGCGGGGGGTAGACTGGTTAAGAAAAAAAGTCCCTGGAACTGTAACCACACCAGCCCACATTACCACAGTCATGCACACTCAAAAGTGAGGTAGTTAGGGGGGTTCGGGGGCATACTCCCCCGAGAAAATTTAGATTTTTCAGACCTATATGTGTGTTTGATAGTCATAAAAATGAGATAACAATAGCTTTAAAAGCATGTCAGTGGGCAGTAGCATAAATTATTTGTCAAGCGGATAACAGATTCTTAAAGGTATAGCGGAGGATTTTCTTTTTCCGGGTGGGTAGTCTATACTATTGGTCGATCTAAGTGTCAATCATTCTGGTGATATGTTTACGTAAGGCCGTCGTACGTGCTCGTCCCTATAGTTTTCACTTTCAGGTGTATTATGTCGGAGTTGCGGTTTCAGCCATTCCTTTGAAAATGGCTGAGGGACGAAAGAGAAAAAATGTATACGAAGTGTATGATAAGAAGAGAAAGGCCGCAGAATATAGAAACAAGACCAGAGTGATTTTGGGTGAATATCGCTGGCGTGCGCTAAAAGCACAGGTTGGGTTTCTCACTGATGCCGCAGTCGCGAAGATTCTACTACACAGGTAAAGTTTGTCATGCTATTTGGAGAAATCCATTTAAAATCACTAGTAAAAGTTAATGCAAGCTACTTAGCAATGCTAGCCCTGGCACAAGTCATGCACCGCATAGACACGGTAAACATCTCAATTTGTCTAAAGTAGCCTTTTGACCAAAATGGTATAAATGGTATCACGCTGAAATATTCTAAAACCTTGCGTGTTCATATTCTAAAACCTTGTGTGTTTATTATTACACAAATGCAACAAGCTACTTCTTCATTACATAGGCCTATGCAACTATGTATAAAAATAACTTATTAATACCTACGTATTAACAATGAGACATATTAGATTAAGGACCAACGTAATAGCACTGCTTATATGTTGCTATGTAACGTAATTGCGATTTGCAAAATAGTTTCCTCAGAACATATTTCGTGTGATACAGGGTTGGACATATCATGTCTTGAGTCCTCGGTCACTCAATCGATCAGTATAATAAGTAATTAAAACACGGAAGGGCATTTGACATGTTGTCTTTTTTATGAATATTTTTGAGTTAGTTTACAATTTGCAACATAATTGTGCAAGGCGTAATAGTAGGCGTTCCCTCTCGGGAGTGTTGTGTTTGTGCATGTGCATTTTTTTTTTTTTTTTAAATTAGAGAGGGCGGGTCTTCTCTAAAATTCGGAAAGATCCTCCGCTATACCTTTAAAGATGAGAATGAGGATAAATGTTTAAATGAATGGTCCACACTTGGAAATGCTGAATGTTTCTGCTTATTTTTGACAATACACAATCACATATTCCAAACAGGAATGGTCTTAAATGAGAAATCTTTCAAGGATTATTTTGCATATGTTACATTTCAATCAAATCCCAGTGCAATCTTTTTTGCGTCCGGAGGCAAATGAGCAATTTATATATTAGCATTAAAGATTGGTTTCAGCAACTAGTTTCTTTCTCAAGCTAATCAATGTTTTTGGCACAAATCAGTTCAATTAAAGTCACTTGTTGCCACCTACTGGCTTAATGATGCAAGTTGGGCAAACACAGACAAGCGGAGTGATACAAACGGTAAAAATACTGATACTGGTGAAATATTTGAACACATTGAAGGACCATAAAATATATATAATGGTTACTTATAAATATATATTTCTACTTATGAATTGAGCTTATATTTTCTGTAATTAGCAAATAACATCTGTGTTAAATAGGAATATTTTGTAATAATGTTAATCAAGCTGACTAAATCACATGACTGCTCAGCAGTTAAAAATAAAAAATATTTAATTCTCAATTTTTAGTGTATGTTTCATTTAAAAAAAAAAACGCCCGCAAAACAACGGTTAAAAGCCGTTTAGCTCGCGAGAGGAGAAAAGTGACATCGGTTGCTAGGTATCAGACAGAAAAGTTGATGCTAGCGATGTTAGGATTTCCTAACCTGAAATAAGATATGATGAAGCAAGATAGGATTCCTAAAGTTATGTAGTATTTGCTTCAGTAATACCAATTGGGGAAAATCCTATCTTAGACTCTTCCTGTAATACGGCCCCTGATATCTAGCTAGCTCCATCTAAGGGTAGTAACGTTAATTTACACATCGTGTTTCAATCGCCAAATCAGATGTATAAATTAGGCTACTTCATCTACATTCTGCATGACAAACGGATATGACTCACAAAATGGATTAGCTTGATGAAATAGTAAGGTGGGTCCCACATACTTTATATATACAGTAGCATTACATGTTCTGCATTAATACCACAGTGAGTACAGGGCTAACTTAGGTAAGTTAGACCGGGTTTGTTTAAGAGCCTTCACCGAACTGAGCTTAATGAGGGAACGGTGCCAGTAAGTTAGATAACTCTTCTTGCCTCTCATCCGCCTCGTATAGTTCATGACTCCATATTTTCCTTTTTAAAAGTGTCTAATGTCCATTATAGCTACCACCAGAAGCCACAAATGACAGTCAAGCCCTAAAGCTGTAAGTTAACTAATGGCTCTATCTCTCTCTCCTCTGGTGTGCACTCTAAATGCAAGCATGCAGTAACCATAGTAACCATAGTAACCATAGTAACGTTGATCTTGAACACATTTTAATCGTCTTTATACATGATTCCGAAGGATAGATTAAAAGACCCGGTCAATTTTTTTACATAAATACAAAATTATTAAAAAATAATAATATTAATCAATAAATAAAATTTTTTGAGATGCGGGGCTGAAGCCCTGAATGCCCATGTCTAATGACGCCCTGGCTGACACTATGTGTTCATTCTGTGAGTGATGTCCCACCCCCTATAGGCAGGTTGAAAACATGTGGAACAGCTCCTACTACTGGCTGTAGTCTCTTGCCTCTGGCCAGAAAAGCCTCCAATGAAGCTAAATTATCATTTTTGTGGCATCTGAGGTTTTTTTCAAGTCACACAATACAGAAATCTCTCGTCTCAAGGGGACATGAGGGAGGGAAGCACAGTCCTTCGAAAATACTACCTGGTTTCTACTGCTACAAAGCTTAAAGGGCACCTATTATGCCCATTTTTACAAGATGTAATATTGGTCTTGGGTGTCCCCAGAATGTATTTGTGAAGTTTCAGCACAACATACCCCATAGTTAATTTATTATAACCACTTGAAAATGTCATTTTTGGGGCCCGTTTTAAAATAGGCTGTTTTGGTGTATACAACCTTAAATGCAAATGAGCTTGCAGACTTGCAGACCTATGGCAGTCGATAAGCAGAAGGGATGAGAGTGAGAGACCCACTGTTTTGAATGCCATTCAGCCGTACATGTTTGAATCGGAATATATAAATAGTCTCTGATCAGACCCAGATGACGAAGAGACTTCGGAAGAATAAACACAAACTAGAATGGACCAGTACGTCTCGGTATGGTTATTTGATACATTTATGCTTATAGAGTTTATAGAGTAATCGCGTCCCCTTTGCAATTATGGATGTGCAACACACACACACAGACACACACAAACACTAACGTTGGTGCAATTTTTTTAAACTACATACACATACTGTGATAAAGTTTGCTACGTACAAGCGAAATTACATTTATGCAAGGGACCTGTTGCGTCATGTTTACTTGTCATACAGGTGCTTCTGTGGCAAATGTCAGAAGATGGCTAACTTACAGAACAACAACATATATGCAGTTTTTAATACAATATCTTTAAAAATATATATATTTATAAACGTGTGGTTACACAACAAGGTTTATATTATATACACAGACATCCTACAACGACAACAACTTTAGACGTATTTGTTGTTGAATAGGCTGACTGAAATGACTATTTGCTCAAAAATCATAAAATACACTAACGATGTAGATGACGATCCACAGTTGAGGATTAACTTTGAAGCAAGACCTGCTTTGAATTGACCCTCATTCACAAAACAGTCAGTCAGAAAATTATTCAAACATAAACTTATTTACAAAGGAAAGGGACCACTTAAACTTCCAAAATACAACACATCCACTGTGTTTTCAGTGGCTCTGATGTCGGAAATAAGTGAAAAATACTATGTATGTCATTATTACATCCCATCCCACAACATAACACTTATGTTTCCAAGAGACATTACCGGCTGTCGTTGAAACAATGGAGGATGATGTGTACAGATCACCGAGGGCGGGGTCTATGCCACAACCACACTGTCAATCAAACCCCTTGCTGAATTCTACGTCACAAAGCGCTGAATCTTAGAACAGCTCGTTCTGAGACAGTGCATATGATTTATTGAGATTGAAAAAAAAAACACTGGGTGGATTTTTATCATTCTAGGGTGGTTTTGCTCACACACTGCCAACACACATTTATGTTCAACACCATGTAAAAGTGAATTTTCCATAATGGGTGCCCTTTACTGCTAATCAGTGAATTATCCCTTTAACATGAGTTTGAAAAAAAATCCAAGAATTGACTTATAATTAAATATTTTTGTATTTTATTATATGACTTCTCTCAAGTTTTTTCACAAAAAAAAAAAAATATCTGCAAACATTTTGCAATAGTAGCTGAACAGGTAGAGGTTTGTAAGGACCCAAGTGCAAGAAAACTTGAGTTTTGTTTTGTTTTTTGTTTGTTTGTTTGTTTGTTTTTTTTGGGGGGGGGATAAGTTTAACCAATTTGCATACAAGACAAGACTTAACAAGAACTAAAGACACAGGAGGGTGTATGTACACTAGGAGCAACAACAACAAAAAAACAATAAAAAAAGGAGGGAACTTTGAGCCAAGAACAGAGAGAGCAAAATAAAGTAAATGCATTACACCAATTCAATAGAGAAGATCAAGATAAACAAAACATGACAAAAATAATTGCATTGTTAAAGATGTGAGGTGGTAGCCATCTTCAAATGGTGCTGTCCTGTAGGGCCGGAATATAGTTCCCTCTTTTCTGTGGCTTTTGGCACAAATGATATGCAAAAATACACACCACTAGTATAAAACAGGAGGATGTAGCAGCTACCACCAACCACAACGACTCCGAGTCTACAGAGAGAGAGAGAGAAATTTAAACACATCTAAATAGTGTAAAATAAAATATTAGATTAAATATTGCATTTGCTCAGCGATTATAATATAAAGCTTGCCAAATCTTTATCATAACTTAGCGCTAAAACAAAGAATCTGCCCTTCCTAAATTTACGGTCAGAAACAGCTACTACAGTTTATACTTTAAGTTTATAAATAAATAAATGTTTATTTTTGAAAGAATGAAGACTATTAATATTATATATTTCTTTCAAGAAAAGGCCCAAACATCAAATCCAATAAAAACTGTGGCAAATCAGAAATCCTTGATTCCTTGCATCATAGCAAAATGTAAAATATATTATCGCCTGGCTCTAATCTGCTAAATGTGACAATAAGAAAGAATGACAGCATTATAATTATGATTTCAAAGTCAAGTCTAGTCACCTTTGATAGTGATGATAGGAAATGAATGCAACAAATATTGTTTTGGATCTAGATCAAGAAGAAAGTTCTCGTCCTGCTTTAAAACAGTGCTGGTTTTTGTTTCATAGACTATATAAGTTACATAAAAAAGGGGGAACTCACTTTTGCCAAAATATGTTGTGCTCAAAATAACTAAGAGTCTCAATAAGGGAGTGAAAACAAGTAGTATATATTGAAACTAAATGATACCAATAACCATAAATATACTGATGAACCTCAAGACAAACCCTAAACAAATCAAACTCAAAAACCCAAAATAATAAAGAGTTGCTAAGGAAAATATGGCTTTTCCCTGATGGAATGGAGTACTCAGGATAATCTTGTCAGGATTTGTTCATATGAATTGTCTTGTTTATTTCTGCTGGATTTCCTAAATCATATATAAAAGGTACACAAGTTAATTCCTGTCCTTGTAGTTTTTTTGTGTGTGTGTGTGTGTGTGATTGTTTCTTTGTGTCTATACACTGGGAAATCTTAAGATTGTGCAGCATTCATTTCTTAGTTGGTGGATCCCTCCTAGTATTTCAGATATGTATAGCTGCATGCCACTAAAGTGGATGTAACACAAATAAACAAAAACATGCAAAATGAGGTCTGGAAGATGTAACTGCAGTATGAGAAAAGAAATAGAGTAATGCAAATCTTCTTATCTGAATGTTGTAGAATGTCCCAGTCTTTGTAATGTCCCAGCGGCCAGTGAAGATATGCAATAACTTAAAAATAATTCATAATCAAACACAGATAAGAAGTAGATATCATCACAACTCTTTTTCTCCTCTGAAGCCCCATTACAGAGTCCTGTTTGAGCTTCTCTGCAAATATCCATCACCGTGCTTCCATCTCTCTTCCTCTTCCTCCGTTTATTGGCAACTGCACTTAGCAGTGCATTACTGCCATTATCAGGTAGCTTGAAACAGAAACACTTCCTATATTTCTTAACATTCCTATATTTTTTAACTGTGTTATTATCAGGCGTTGTGAAGGATGCAGAAGACGAGGACAAAAGGATGTAGCTCAATGTAGCCTCCTTCACTCCTTCAATCACTCCTTCATAGACTGCCTAAGGGACTGGCTCTTGACGGCCCATAAAGTCATTAAAGAAAATGTTTAAATATTCCATGTGCCTACAGTGGCTCAATTATAAGTTTATCAAGCAACGAGAATACTTTTTGTGCGAAAAAAACATAAATAACGATTTTATTCGACTATTCCATTACTTCCTTATGGGCGCATGCCCGAGAACTGAGATGACAACGTTCTTCTTCGACTACTTCTTGTTACCGGCTGCTCACCGCTTAGGAGTATTACCGCCCCCTACCGTATAAGATGATGATCCATATATAAGGCGCTCCGGATTATAAGGCACACTGTCGTTTTTTGAGAAGTTTAAAGGCTTTTAAGTGCACCTTATAGTGCGGAAAATACGGTAATTGAAAAGCGTATGTACAGTGCGCATCTTCCTCTGCTTGTAAACAGAAAGTTTTGCGCTTCCAGCTATATCAGCACATCATCTTATACGGTAGGGGGCGGTAATACTCCTAAGCGGTGAGCAGCCGGTAACAAGAAGTAGTCGAAGAAGAACGTCGTCTTCTCAGTTGTCGCGCATGCGCCCATAAGGAAGTAATGGAATAGTCGAATACAGTCGTTATTTATGTTTTCTTCGCACAAAAAGTAGTCTCGTCGCTTGATAAACTTATAATTGAGCCACTGTATGCACATGGAATATTTAAACATTTTCTTTAATGACTTTATGGGCCGTCAAGAGCCAGTCCCTTAGGCAGTCTATGAAGGAGTGATCTACCTCTCAGATTTAATCAAAAATATCTTCATTTGTGTTCCGAAGATGAACAAAGGTCTTACGGGTTTGGTACAGGATGGGGGTGAGTAATTAAAGACTCAATTTTCATTTTTGGGTGAACTAACCCTTTAATGACAGACCGTGGCTGCTGTCACTGTAAGAGCTTGTGCACAGATCCTGTAACCAATAACAAAACAAAATAATAATAAAACATTATACGGTCACGTGCGATGTATGCTTATTTAAGACATAACCGACTGTGTTTAGAGGATACACACCAGTCAACAAGACCGAAATTGACATAATTTTCACATGCTTTTGACTGCTAAAGCGATATAATCCACGAAAATAACTGTTGTTACCCGCAATCTTTTGAGGCATCTTGTAGCCTATGTGTGCAGAAAAAAACATCTCAGACAGTGTGCGAGTAGCCTACCAGATAGTTCAAGACCGCGTGAATTTTTAAAATAAGACTTAAGACGTGCAAATGGTAAACTGTAGTTCCCTTTCGAAGGGAACTCAACAATACGTCGAATGACGCTATGGGGAACGCCTCAGGCGTGACAGGTGTCTGAAATCAAATATCAACTCACAGTAATCAGGTTGACCGGCGACAGCCCGTGCATCATCAACTTGAATGATGAGCGCGTCAATCTGGATGTATAAGAAGGGCACCTTGAAACCGTGACAACATTCTTTCGTCTTCAGGGACTGTTTGTCTGTGTGATAGTATCAACGATTAAGTGCGCAGAGACGCGTAGAAACACTTTTCGTGAGTGTGCCGACCTGTGTCCAGATATTTGACACCGGAGGATTCACACGATCTGTGCGTGTTCTGCCTGGGAGAAGAGCACACGCGGGAAGCTCTCGAGGGAGTTTTCTGTGCGAACTGTGAGAGTTTTCCTATCAGAACTCTCTGCTCTCGTCAGTCCCACTTCTCGAGGGAAGTGGGCGTGGCATCTGAACCCCGCGGTTCCGGTTCCCGCTCGGGCTGAGGCTCAGTGGCGGTTGAGCTCGTGGAGCTTTCAGATGGAGCTGGCAGATTATCGGGAGAGGGGCGTTAACCTCGCGGATGATCTACCAGCTGACGAGGGTGAGTTACAGATCAATGTTGAAGCTCTTTTCTTTCTCTTTCTGAAAGAAAAATAAATTAATTAATTAATTAAAAAATTTTGCTCTGTAACTGTTCTCTTCGGGCTATGCAGGAGTTGGCTGCTGAGGATGTCAGTTTGGTTGAGACCAGACCATCTCAGCCCTCCTGCCCAGTGTACGCTGAGCTGGTTGACATTATGGGGCGCGCCACAGACAGATTGCAGTTGCAGTGGAGGCGCGTCTGGGAGGAACCCGCTCATGGTATTTTTGGATGGCTGGTTCCTCCCCACCCATAAGCCACCAGCCCGGATGAGCCTTCCATTCCTTTCTGATCTCCACGCTGGGATCGAGAGGGTATGGAAGAACCTGTTCTCCTCACGTCTCTATCTGCATCAGCGGGCTAGTTTCGCTGCTGTGGAGGGAGCCGTGGAGCACGGATATGTGTTGATGCCGCCAGTGGACGAGACGTTGGCTAACCATCTCGCCTCTGGTCGGTCCTCTTCACTAAGAGCTCTGACCCTGCCATCCAAGCTGCTCAAGACATCTTCACACTTGAATGACAGAGCGTACACTGCAGAAGGTCAGGCAGGTGCGGTTCTGCACACCCTTGTGGTCCTCAGGCTTACCAGACCGATCTGCTGCAGGACTCCGGGCCACCAAGCAATCTGCTGTTCCATCGGTGCTATGGTGGCCACAGAGAGCCATCTGTGGCTCTACCAGGCTGACATCGGGGAGAAAGGAAACTTTTCACAGACAGACCCAGAAGACCATTGTCGCTTCCTGTGCACCCCTTCCTCCTGGTAGGGGGAGTAGGGCATGCAGGAGGTGTAACATACTGTGATCGCTAGGTTACAGGCTTCACCAGGCCTTCCTGGCTATGAGCTCCCACATATTGAGGTCGCCAGGTTACAGGCCTCACCAGGCCTTCCTGGGTATGAGCTCCCACATATTGAGGTCGCCAGGTTACAGGCCTCACCAGGCCTTCCTGGTTATGAGCTCCCACATACTGTGGTCGCCAGGCTACAGGCCTCACTGGGCCTTCCTGGTTATGAGCTCCCACACATTGTGGTTGCTGGGTTACAGGCCTTAAACGGGCCTTCCTGGTTATGAGCTCCCATATACTGTGGTCCCCAGGTCACAGGCCTCACCAGGCTTTCCTGGTTATGAGCTTACTCATACTGTTAAGCTCCCACATATTGTACCAATCGGGATACAGGCCTCATCCAGCCTTCCTGAAGGTGAGCTCCTACATATTGTGGTTGCCGGGTTACAGGCCTCATCAGGCCTTCCTGGTCATGAGCTCCCACATACTGTGGTCGCCAGGTTATAGGCCTCACCAGGCCTTCCTGGTTACGAGCTCCCACATATTGTGGTCACTGGGTTACAGGCCTCACCAGGCCTTCCTGGTTATAAGCTCCCACATACTGTGGTCGCCAGGTTACAGACCTCAAAGGGTCTTCTTGGTTATGAACTCACACATTCTGTTGAGCTCCCACATGAGGAGAGCTCCCACATACTGTGGTCGCCGGGTTATAGGCCTTATCAGGCCATTCTGGTTATGAGCTCCCACATACTGTAGTCGCCAGGTGACAGTCCTCACCAGGCCTTCCTGGTTATGGGCTCCCACATACTGTGGTCGCCAGGTTACAGGCCTCACCAGGCCGTCCTGATTATGAGCTCCCAAATACTGTGGTCACCAGGTTACAGGCCTTATCAGACCTTCTTGGTGATGGGCTTCTACATGTCAGGTTACAGGCCTCACCTGGCCTTCCTGAATGTGAACTCCCACATGCTGTGGTAGCCAGACTACAGCCTCACCACCTTTCCTGAGCACTTTGCTCCCACTCTGTGGTCAGGCTTCATTGGCCTTCCTGGTTATGAGTTGTCACAGGTCAGGCTGCAGGCTTTACCAGGCCTTCCTGAATGTGAAACCCCCACTTATCGTGGTCGCTAAGGTGTAGTTGTGAGTCTTCACATGTCAAGTTGCAGGCCTCAGCGGCCTTCCTGAATGTGAGCTCCCCACGCATTGGGACTATCGGGTGTCAGGCCTCGTCAGGCCTTCCTGATTATGGGTTCCCACATGTTGTGGCTGCAGGTTACAGGCCTCAAGTACGGCCTTCCTGAATTCAGAGTGAAGTACACAAACCCATACTTCACCTATTATTGTGGTAAGTCACATGACGAGATGTCTTGTGTACTTTCTAAAATCCATTTCTTATGGTAAGGGTCACATGCAGTACGCTTCGGTCCCTTCTTATGTGGCTCAGACCCTGGTCTTTCCTCGGGTTCCACTTTAAGAGGCGTCTTGTTGCTTAAATAGGCTAAAGGATGCCCTTCTCTGGCTAACTTCTGGAAGTAGCTTCCACTTGGTGAAGTAAGCTGCCACAGGTTGGGGTCACCAGGCTGGGTCTCACTGACCTTCCTGAGTATGAGCTCCCACCCGATGTGGTCGCCAGGTGATGACAAAGACAGACTGGTGCAGACGATGACTGTGACAGTTATTATTTCTTGTCTTTCCTAAATAAATTTCCTGCATGTTGTAAGAACATGTTCTACTGTTTCAGCCTCCTGACAATGTTCACACATTCCTGTAGGATGTTTTTTTTATAATTAAAAGTGTGCTATTAAGATTACTATGCCCAATCCTCAACCTGCTTATTATCACCTGCTCTTTTCCCTTTGCTCCCCGACTTCTTGATATACATACTTTTATTTGAATTTCATATAAATTTCTCCCTTTTGTTCATATAAATGTCTCCCTTTTGCGGCGTCTCCCTATATATATGTATTTTATCGATGCTACATCCGCTCTCCACCCTAGAGGACTTGTTGTGTTGTGTTGTGTACATCCCTCCGTTGGGCAAAGCAGCAAATGCTGTGAGCATTATAAGAGATTGTATTCAACTTCAACTTCAACATACACCTGGAGCTCCTGTCTTTATTCTCGGTGACTTTAATCATTTTAAAATGGAGTCTGCCCTCTCTGGGTATGAACAGTATGTTAAAGGCAATACAAGACTTAATAGGATCTTAGACAAATGCTACGGGAACATAAAAGGAGCATACACTTCCAGATCATTTCCTCCTCTGTCTAACTCTGACCACAACATTGTGTACTTAATCCCAACATATAAGACTCTGCTGAAAAGACACAAACCTGTGGTTAAGAGCGTTAATGTGTGGTCGAATGACATTGTTGAATCCTTGAAAGGTTGATTTCTTTGTACTGATTGGGAAGTTTTTCATAGTGATGATATTGATGAAACCACTGTGGTAATGACAGATTATATTAAATTTTGTATGGATAATGTAGTACCTAAAAAGGAGGTGATCATTTATGAAAACAATAAGCCCTACATACATAGAATATTGTATAGACTGCTTGTTTATCTGGGAATCTGACCCTTGTTTCGTTCTTTCAATTGTGTCCTTATCTGTTTTATTGTGTTTGTATTTTGTATGCCCCATTTCTTCACTGTTTTTAATGTTTTTTTGTCTATGTACTGTTTCTCATCTTCCATGAAGGACCACAATGGAAACAAGCCTTTGGGCTTTCTTGTGTTTTTATCCTTTTTAACACTTCATGTCGATTGTTGTTCAATAAAGTTTTCAATCAATCAATCAATCAATCAATCAATCAATCAACTTAAGGAAATTAAAAGCTGTATTAATAAAAATAAACTAGCCTTTCATAACCAAGATCGCCTTGCAGTAAGATTAGCACAGAAGGAATTGAATGGACTACTAAGGGAGGCCAGGAATAAACAAAAATAACTTTTGGAGAACAAGCTAAATATGTCTAACCCTAAACAGCTTTGGGACTCTATGAAATCCATAACAAACATGCAGTCTTCACAGAAATATGCAACTACTCCAGATGATCTACAGAAAGCCAATGATCTTACTTTAAACGCATTTGTCCTAACAAATCGGCAGGCCCGGATGGAATTTCAGCCTACATCTTAAAAAACTTTGCAGATGAACTGACTCCAGTATGGTTTAGGGTTAGGGTTAGGCAACAATCTTTGGACACTGGTACTGTTCCTAGCCTCTGGAAAAGGGCTGTAATCCGGCTCCTAAGATAGCCAGGCCCGTAGTAAATAATCATTTTAGACCAATTGCATTAACGTCTGTGATTATGAAATGTTTTGAAAAGTGTATTGTGTCAATGTTAAAAGCAGAGGTTGCTAACAACCTAGATCCTTTACAGTTTGCCTATAGGCAGGGGAGGGGAACTGAGGATGCTATTATCAGCATTATGCACCTAATTCTGAAGCATTTAGAGAATCACAAAGCCTATGCCCGTTCACTTTTTATCGATCTTAGCTCTGCTTTTAACATCATTCAAACGCCCTTGTTAATCTCAAAGATGGAGCAGCTGAGTGTTATCCCAGCTACCATAAAGTGGTACTTATCATTTTTAACTGATAGAACTAGTTATAGTGCGTTAAAGGTTCAATGTGTAAAAAAGTTGACTATCTATTAACAGAAATGCTATATGACATCTATAACTATGTTTTCAGTGGTGTAAAAAGAACTTACTTAATAAACCGTAATGTTTTTATTACCTTAGAATGAAACATTTATATCTCCATAACCGTGGGAATCCCCTTCTATGAAGGTCACCATATTGTGACGTCATGTTATTAATTAATAATTAAAAATTATGTACAGTATGGTTTGGGAACCTATCTATACAGCTAAAATCCAAATTGGCACATCTGGTGTTGACAGCACTTAAAACAGTTGGACATGAGGAATATTTGAATCTCCAACATTTATATGAGAATAGCACTTTAATTCGGGTGCAGAAAATCGTGGGGGACCAAACTCACTTTTTGCACTCTCAGTATGAAATGCTCCCCTCCGGCAGAAGATATAGAGTAGCATTGTGCAAACTAAACCGGTATAAGAATTCTTTTGGTCCTGTGTCCGTACGTATGTTGAATAACAGTCTATCTTATTAATTTTAAATTTGTAAAATCAACTGTCTTTCCTCTTTTTATACTTTTTTATACTTTTGTATTGTATATTTCTATGTATATGCAGCAATCATGTAGTCCAAAACAAATTTCCTTTCGAGGATAATAAAGTATACTACTACTACCACTACTAATCCTGTTAGACACCTCATGACATTTATAACTTTTTTTAAACTTATCAATTACATATCTAATATGCTCTCTCCATGTTAATCTCACATCAAAATATACTCCCAAAAAAACGAAAACTTTCAACTCTAACTTATTCCCATACAATTTCAAACACCATTCCCTGACTTTGTGAAGTCACCCTAACCCTTTCTTGTGAAGAACATAACTTTTGTTTTTTCCACTGAAAATTTAAATCCCCATTCTGTCCCCCACTTCTCGAATTCTATCTTGCATTTTTTAATGACATATTCCACATTTCTTCCTCTTTTCCACAATGCTCCATCATCTGCAAACAACGATCTCCCCATATCAGTTGAAATGTTTACAAATACATCATTTATCCTAATGGTTTCACTTTATTTTGATGGTCCCTTTAACACAATCTGTTGACTATATGTAATGTTAGTAAAGTATTAGTAGACTGGTTGGTTTAGAGTTAGAATAAGTTGACATATGCACTTGCAAAAATACTGATAGTCAGTAGAAAGTCTGTTGGAGGAACATCCGAAAAGAGTTAGCAGATTTTAAGCAGGCAGTCTACTCTCTAATGAGAGTTAGTTGACATGTAGTTGCAAAGTTACTTATAGTCAGGAGAATATTCTAAAGGGACCACCAAAATAAAGTGATACTGGCAGTTCTAATCACACATGAATAAAAACACCGAGTGTAGTGTTTTTCTAGTGTATTCTGGCCTTAAAATAACTATATTGGGGATTTGTAACTTGATATTGAGATTGTTCAAATGAAGATCATGGCAAACGAGAAACATTTCTCATGAGCATGTGAAAGTCTTTATTTTATTTTGCAAAGGTCCCTTTAGGAGCTTTGTACATACATAACTTTCAAACAAGCAGTTTTAAAAAGAGAAGCATGCAACTGACCAAAGGGTACTCACCTTCTAGTTTAATTTGAGCGACAACTTCCTGTTTCTGATCTTGGTTTTGACATATACACTTCAACTCTGTCCCATTGTCCTCTGGCTGAAGCTCAAGGATAACCAGCTGCACCTCAAGATGGTTTCCTGTGATACTAAAAACACATAATCTCTGTGTGATGCTAAATTCAGTGTAGCAGTGAGAATTTAATGAAAGTTTCAGTTGAACTAACTTCCCTTTTTTTGTCCATACTGTGGACAAAACCATACTGTGTTTCACATTTATCTGCAAGGACTTATAAAAGGTTCTGCACACTGTAAGGACTTTTGCCAGGCAACTCAACCGTCCTCCCCCAGGACTCACTCGAAACACACACAGGGACACACACACACACACACAAGCCCTTCCCTTCCCCCCACACACGAGGGAAGCTTCTGATACAGAGACTTCGACACATCGGAATGTGCCGAATGTCTCTGAACAAAGAAAAGGACTTTTGGTGTTTAAAGACATTTAACAAAATATTTTCAATGGTTTTATGTATGTGTGTTTTCCCCCATGTCACAGTGAAATAACTTTAGTTCCCTTTCGTAGTCACTTCGAGTTACGTCAGAAGTGACGGAGAATGGGGGTTTCGCATAGAAAGCCAATCCTCTTCGAGTATTTAACAACGAGCCAATGGCATGAAAATGCCTTGGGGCTGCGGAATTTGCATAGCGTATCTCCGCCCGACGCAGTGGGTATAAAAGGAGGAAGTGAACGCAACCGCAGTATGTCTTCGCTGAGGAGCCAAGGCTGAACTCCGGCGTCTACCCAGCGATACAGCAGAAGTGGCAGGGAGACGTAACGTCTCCGTTCCCTACTCAGGGAACGAGGGTTACATCCGTAACCGAGACGTTCCCTTTCGTAGTCACTTCGAGTTACATCAGAAGTGACGGAGAATGGGGGTCATTGCCATCACGCCATCTTCAAGCTGTCTTCCAGTGCCCTGCGAAGGTCTGGACCCCTGAACCCCTTTTTTTTTTTTTTCAGGGATCCCACTTTGACACAGGATTACCAAGGTACACTGGGAAACATATCCCGGGAGGGACATGCTACCAGATGCCTACCGAAGGAGGACTTACAAATACACATATGGCCGCATAGGGACGCATATGGAATCACTGGAGCACCAACCGCAGGTGGCTACTAGAATTTAACTCCAGGGGTGGCAGATGGCTTGCCAAGGGAAGACACAAGCTCAGAGAGGCTTACAGTAGATAATACACATGAGACAGTTACCATAGGGAACCGTGCACATGGAGGCACCTAGCTGGCATCCAGAGCAATAGCAGTGGTGCCCGCATCGTCGGTGCTGGAGGACTCAAGGCTTCAATGGAAGACACTGAGGAGATATCGCACTTATCCAATCCGAGGAGTGGAATGGTGAGCAAGCGAAGACACCTAAGCGGGTCCAGTACTGGCGGAAGCGAGTACGAGAGAGGACACTGGCTCAACTCGCAGATTATAGAATCTGGCGAAGGTGTTGGGTGTCGCCCAGCCTGCAGCTCTGCAAATGTCTGTTAGCGAGGCGCCGTGCGCTAGAGCCCAAGAGGAGGCCACACTCCGAGTGGAATCTGTGATTGCATTCTGTCTGCGCCTGGGTTCATCCGCCACCCATACCATAACAGAATGAACCGACCAAAGAAGAACCCAGCAGACTGTTTGTCTTTCCCCAATAGACCACAACCGGCTGACCAAGAATTATGGTGGCAGTCGGCCATCGCAGATAGTAGAGGTGGAAGACTTCCATTTCCTCCCCAGGGTGAGTTGTCCCTGAAGAAGTATGCTCAAGTCGTTGAAGAAAAGAGATTCTTCCTGCCTGAGGTCCTGGTTTCTCGCTATTTCATCGCCGGTCTCAACTCTCCACCTCCGCTGACTGAACGGGAGGAGCTCACTCTTCGCCCATTTCAAGTTGTAGTGAATTGCTTATCTCGGAGGGAGCCAATGGGTCCCACAAGGTATTCATCTCCTTTGCTTCCAATGGTCCCGGAGGGTCGTATGATAGGTGTTGTGACACTTGGGGACCAGGCCAGCTCCACCACAACATCCGCTGATCTCCGTGGCAAGCGAGGGAGACGGAGTTCATGGGATTCTCCTTCTGAATCATCCTCGACAGAGTCAACGCTGTCTGAGACTGCCCTTCCTGCACCAGTTACGGCCCCCATTGAGCTTCTCCAACCGGTCAAGGGTCCGTCTACTACATCCGTGCCACGGCCTAGGAAGAAGAGGAGGAGGAGGGGAGCCTCTCGTCCTTCATCTCCGCTTGTCCCAGAGCCCGCTCCCGCTACTGTAAGCGCTGTCCCAGAGCCCGCTGCTGTAAGCACTGTCCCAGAGCCCGCTGCTGTAAGCGCTGTCCCTGAACCAGCTGCTGAAGTCACAGTTCCCGAGTCTGCTGTCGTAAGCGCCGCCGAGAGGGCTGCAGCTGATTCGGCTGCTGAGGCTGTTTTGCGGTCAGTGTCAGCAGATCAGGAGTTGCCTATTGCCGTTGCGGCAAGAACTTTGTCCAAGTACCTGTCGAGTCTAGCCAAGATTCTGGAAGTTCCAGCCAGATCTGGCATGTTGTCTTGTCCCGTGTCCACAGCCGCCGTGAGCGCTGAACCCCACTCAGCCGCCGAGAGCGCAGCACCCGCGCCAGCTGCCGAGAGAGCAGCACCCGCGTCAGCCGCCGAGAGCGCAGCACCCGCGCCATCCGCCGAGAGTTTTGTCATAGAAAGTCCCCAGACAGCTGCAGTGAGCGCCGTACCCCAGACTGCAGCTGAGAACACCGCTCCCAAGTCGGAGATGTTGATCGTGGGATCAGAGTCACCTTCGGTGAGCTCTGTCCCAGTTTCCCCTCTTCGGTCTCCTACTACACTCCCCGTCATGAGTCCTGCTTCGTCTCCATCGTTCGCTGTACCCCCAGTTGCTATCTCTGTTGTGACTTCCACTGTTCCCAAGACCTCGTGTGTTTCCCCGGTCAGCCCTGTCTGCGCTCAACCCCGGATTGTTTCCCCATTTGTCCCTGTCCCCACTGTCCCTGGACTTCCGTTTGTTTCCCCTGTCTCCCCTGCCATGGCTCAACCCCGGACTGTTTTTCCCTTGTCCCACACCACTCCTCCCAAGCCCGCTCGGTCCTCTCGTCCTAAGCCCACTCCCCGTGGTCCCAGGACCCCTGTCCCGCCCACCCACCCGGGACTGTCACGCAAAGACTGTTTCCTCCACCTCCTCTGCATTGTATGTTCTTTTTGATGTTCCTCCCCAACCCTGTCATTGTGTTTTCTTGTATGCCCTTGTTAGTTTTTGCCATGTACTGTTGGTTTGTGTCTTTGTCACAGTCTGTCATGTCCCGTGTTTAATGTCCCCTTGAGGAGCGTCTGGAAGCCGCTCCTTAAGGTGGGGGTTCTGTCATGATTCTGCCTTCTTGTCCTTGAATTCTTCTAGTCGTGAGGCAGGATCATGACAGAATCATGTTTTGTGTGCAAGTGCTGTAACACTTTCCTTCTTAATTTATGCCGGGGTGCCAGACAGATACTTAATCTGCCAAAATTGTATCTTAATTAAGGTTGTGAATCACGTCACAAAGGAAAGCAAACACAGGTCACATGTATTAATTACTCAACATGAACCCTTAAATGATATAAACACTACGGAAACAAAAACACTCCAATTCATTATGCAATTATTTTAGTAGGTTAGATTCACCATGAACAAGTCCCAATTTTTTCACATCACCATTGGAGTAAAGATAGATTATACACACAACCCCAATATACACAAAACAGCAAACAATACAACCCCAATATGAATAAGTCAGTACACAACGCAGTTTCATTCATATAAAAATCAACCTCACACAGTTCACAATCATAACGTAGCAGTGTTGTGTAGGAAAAAGAGTTCATAGAAACAGTCAGAGTCATCTTAGTCCATCACGCTTTTTACGGCAAATCAAAGGGCAGCAAATAAACCACAAAGTCAGTCCCGCTATTGAGTTTATATATCCTTTTACTCACGCTTCACGACTTCAACGAATCAACGAACACTCCGGCTTCTCTCAGATACTTCAAATACCTTGTGAAGAGATCGCTCGTACTGTAGTCTCTCTCTCTGAATGACTGGCACGTCAACAGCGTTGCGGCGATTCTCTCAGTTCCCTCGGCAAGCGCTCAGTATTTCCATATATGCACGTAGTTTAGACCCATGACTCTGAATGCAGGTTCATTCATAGATGTATAATCTCTCTGGATGACTGGAAACGTAACAGCGTCGCGGCGATTCTCTCAGTTCCCTCGGCAAGCGCTCAGTATTTCCATATAAGCACGTAGTTTAGACTCGTGACTCTGAATGCATATCATCGACGTAATCAACTTCCCGTCGGCTGAATAAGATGAGTCTGCCCTCAAACTGAACCCCACCTTGCTTGTCCTCCCCGCCATTCACTCTTTTCAACTCAACACCTTACGTCATCATACATCCGGTATTCCCAATCTGGACTGACAAGACCGCCATGTTGGTTGTACTATATGTGGCGTTGTTGAATCTTTTATTTATATTCATTAAAAGATGAAAGGGCATCGTCACAGTGCATGGCCAGCTGTTTTGGCCATGTGCTTGTGTTGTCTCGTTTCTTTATCTAGTAGTATTTTGTCAGTACCTTGTCTAGTAAGTCTTTATATTCCTTGTCAGAGTCTTGTTTTGCCCCCTCGTGGGCTTTGTTTTCCCCTTTTTGTCTACAATAAACTATCTGTGATTGCATTCTGTCTGCGCCTGGGTTCATCCGCCACCCATACCATAACATTATTAATTATGATGTGCAAATTCCCCCTTGATCAGACCCAAACAGAGTCTCTACAGCACTCAGCAACACACCTGCTGTGAAGCCTGTTGGAAATCCCTAAATATAATTTTAAACAGGTGTGTGAAATGATGAAAATGAAATGCAATATCTCAAATAATTAGCAAGAGTTTCTATTTAAAAGCATCTGCTAAATGAATAAATGTACATTTAAAATTTGAAACTTTCTAAATATATTATTATATAAATATTAACAAGTAACAAACCACCAAATGTGCAAAACAAACAAACAAAAAAATTAATATTGACTAATACTGAATTGAATTCAATATTATCTTATTGCGGTTGATGTTTCAGACGTCTTTTGTCTCATTTAACTGTCAACAGTAATACATTACCACTGAAGTGTAATAATACATTACCAATTAAATGTGATGATATATTTAAATATGTAAATTATATTAAGGAACTGAAAAAAAAAAAAAAAACTATAACCATTCATTTGACTATACTAAGGGCCATAACTAGAGGAGCAAACCAGGTGAAAATGACCTGTGCTTAAGATCCCCTTCAATTATTATTCCTATTATCAGGTCTGATGTGGAAGTAGAAATCAGTCTCAAGCTTTATCTCAGGGTTAGCTGTTCTCCCCCTGTCTGCCACTGACCCCTGCCTGCCCATTGACACAATTCTGCCTCACAATCAAAAAAAAGGACACAATCCTTTTTTTCCCAATAAACTGAACTTTTCTTCTCACACTGTGCTTGAATTCTAGTCCACTCCTGACACAATTTCCAAGTGGATCACTGTAGGAATCAATGTTACCTTTTTTCTGTCTGAAATGCACGTCCACCCAGGTAAGAGTTTTCAGCTGGCTGACCATTAACCAGCCATGTCACATCTGTGGACTGAGCGGCCTGATTTCCAATGGACACAATACAAGGGATCACCAAACGTGAGCCTGAAAGATAACAGTTGAAAGATACAATTGAAGGTTGGTATGTAGCTGTCTGAGAATCACTATGTAACAGTAACTAATGTTGGGAAGGTTTAAGGTTTTAGAATGAATGATTCATTAAATTGTAAGGATTTTAAAATATTAAATTTCTTTCTGGAGAAGGTTTGGGTGTTTTATACAATTAGCTACTAAACGTATGCTCACTCATTTAGAATAATCCAGATTTGTCAACAACTGAACTCTTGTGAGAGAACTTCTGCGTACAAAAATACAGAACTTGCATGTAATCATTATTGAATGAAATCGAATGTGCAATATAAATCAATGTTTGCTTTATGTCTATTTATTAATAACCAGTAGTAGTCCACCAACAAGCCAGACAAACCAAGGGCCTCATTTATAAACTTATGTACACACAGATTTGATCAGAGTGTGTGTGCGCTAAAATCCATGCCAACATTCACATTTCTAAAAACGGTCTTTGACATGGAAAAGTGCTTAAAGACACGTCGGAGTCTATACATTTTTCTTTGTGGCAGAGAGTCGGATTACTGCAGCTCCAACACAGGTGTGCACAGTGATACGAGGTTCAGGATCAAGGATAGCGCCAACACAGGTGAGCACATTGATGCTCAGGATAGAGCACAGTGCTAACCAATGATAGCGCCAACACAGGTGTGCACAGTGATGTTCAGGACCAACGATATCTCCAACACAGGTGAGCACAGTGATGTTCAGGACCAACAATATCTCCAACACAGGTGAGCACAGTTATGTTCAGGACCAACGATATCTCCAACACAGGTGAGCACAGTGATGTTCAGGACCAAGAATATCTCCAACACAGGTGAGCACAGTTATGTTCAGGACCAACGATATCTCCAACACAGGTGAGCACAGTGATGTTCAGGACCAACGATATCTCCAACACAGGTGTGCACAGTGATGGTCAGGACCAACGATATCTCCAACACAGGTGAGCACAGTGATGGTCAGGACCAACGATATCTCCAACACAGGTGTGCACAGTTATGTTCAGGACCAACGATATCTCCAACACAGGGTTGCACAGTTATGTTCAGGACCAACGATATCTCCAACACAGGTGAGCACAGTGATGTTCAGGACCAACGATATCTCCAACACAGGTGAGCACAGTTATGTTCAGGACCAACGATATCTCCAACACAGGTGAGCACAGTGATGTTCAGGACCAACGATATCTCCAACACAGGTGAGCACAGTTATGTTCAGGACCAACGATATCTCCAACACAGGTGAGCATAGTGATGTTCAGGAGCAATGATATCTCCAACACAGGTGAGCACAGTGATGTTCAGGACCAACGATATCTCCAACACAGGTGAGCACAGTGATGTTCAGGACCAACGATATCTCCAACACAGGTGTGCACAGTGATGGTCAGGACCAACGATATCTCCAACACAGGTGAGCACAGTTATGTTCAGGACCAACGATATCTCCAACACAGGTGAGCACAGTGATGTTCAGGACCAACGATATCTCCAACACAGGTGAGCACAGTTATGTTCAGGACCAACGATATCTCCAACACAGGTGAGCATAGTGATGTTCAGGAGCAATGATATCTCCAACACAGGTGAGCACAGTGATGTTCAGGACCAACGATATCTCCAACACAGGTGTGCACAGTGATGTTCAGGACCAACGATATCTCCAACACAGGTGAGCACAGTGATGTTCAGGACCAAGAATATCTCCAACACAGGTGAGCACAGTGATGTTCAGGACCAACGATATCTCCAACACAGGTGAGCACAGTTATGTTCAGGACCAAAGATATCTCCAACACAGGTGAGCACAGTTATGTTCAGGACCAACGATATCTCCAACACAGGTGAGCACAGTGATGTTCAGGACCAACGATATCTCCAACACAGGTGAGCACAGTTATGTTCAGGACCAACGATATCTCCAACACAGGTGAGCACAGTTATGTTCAGGACCAACGATATCTCCAACACAGGTGAGCACAGTTATGTTCAGGACCAACGATATCTCCAACACAGGTGAGCACAGTGATGTTCAGGACCAACGATATCTCCAACACAGGTGTGCACAGTGATGTTCAGGACCAACGATATCTCCAACACAGGTGAGCACAGTTATGTTCAGGACCAACGATATCTCCAACACAGGTGAGCACAGTGATGTTCAGGAGCAATGATATCTCCAACACAGGTGAGCACAGTGATGTTCAGGACCAACGATATCTCCAACACGGGTGAGCACAGTTATGTTCAGGACCAACGATATCTCCAACACAGGTGAGCACAGTTATGTTCAGGACCAACGATATCTCCAACACAGGTGAGCATAGTGATGTTCAGGACCAACGATATCTCCAACACAGGTGAGCACAGTGATGTTCAGGACCAACGATATCTCCAACACAGGTGAGCACAGTGATGTTCAGGACCAACGATATCTCCAACACAGGTGAGCACAGTGATGTTCAGGACCAACGATATCTCCAACACAGGTGAGCACAGTGATGTTCAGGACCAACGATATCTCCAACACAGGTGAGCACAGTGATGTTCAGGACCAACGATATCTCCAACACAGGTGAGCACAGTGATGTTCAGGAACAGTGATATCTCCAACACAGGTGAGCACAGTGATGTTCAGGAGCAATGATATCTCCAACACAGGTGAGCACAGTGATGTTCAGGAGCAATGATATCTCCAACACAGGTGAGCACAGTGATGTTCAGGACCAACGATATCTCCAACACAGGTGAGCACAGCGATGTTCAGGACCAACGATATCTCCAACACAGGTGAGCACAGTGATGTTCAGGACCAACGATATCTCCAACACAGGTGAGCATAGTGATGTTCAGGAGCAATGATATCTCCAACACAGGTGAGCACAGTTATATTCAGGACCAACGATATCTCCAACACAGGTGAGCACAGTTATGTTCAGGACCAACGATATCTCCAACACAGGTGAGCACAGCGATGTTCAGGACCAACGATATCTCCAACACAGGTGAGCACAGTGATGTTCAGGACCAACGATATCTCCAACACAGGTGAGCATAGTGATGTTCAGGAGCAATGATATCTCCAACACAGGTGAGCACAGTTATGTTCAGGACCAACGATATCTCCAACACAGGTGAGCACAGTGATGTTCAGGACCAACGATATCTCCAACACAGGTGAGCACAGTGATGTTCAGGAACAAGAATATCTCCAACACAGGTGAGCACAGTGATGTTCAGGACCAACGATATCTCCAACACAGGTGAGCACAGTGATGTTCAGGAACAAGAATATCTCCAACACAGGGTTGCACAGTGATGTTCAGGACCAAGAATATCTCCAACACAGGTGAGCACAGTGATGTTCAGGGTCAACGATATCTCCAACACAGGTGAGCACAGTGATGTTAAGAACCAACGATATCTCCGAAACAGGTGAGCACAGTGATGTTCAGGACCAACAATATCTCCAACACAGGGTTGCACAGTGATGCTAAGGACCAACGATATCTCCAACACAGGTGAGCATAGTGATGTTCAGGAGCAATGATATCTCCAACACAGGTGAGCACAGTGATGTTCAGGACCAAGAATATCTCCAACACAGGTGAGCACAGTGATGTTCAGGACCAACGATATCTCCAACACAGGTGAGCACAGTGATGTTCAGGACCAAGAATATCTCCAACACAGGTGTGCACAGTGATGGTCAGGACCAACGATATCTCCAACACAGGTGAGCACAGTGATGGTCAGGACCAACGATATCTCCAACACAGGTGAGCACAGTTATGTTCAGGACCAAGAATATCTCCAACACAGGTGAGCACAGTGATGTTCAGGACCAACGATATCTCCAACACAGGTGAGCACAGTGATGTTCAGGACCAACGATATCTCCAACACAGGTGAGCACAGTTATGTTCAGGACCAACGATATCTCCAACACAGGTGAGCACAGTGATGTTCAGGACCAACGATATCTCCAACACAGGTGAGCATAGTGATGTTCAGGAGCAATGATATCTCCAACACAGGTGAGCACAGTTATGTTCAGGACCAACGATATCTCCAACACAGGTGAGCACAGTGATGTTCAGGACCAACGATATCTCCAACACAGGTGAGCACAGTGATGTTCAGGAACAAGAATATCTCCAACACAGGTGAGCACAGTGATGTTCAGGACCAACGATATCTCCAACACAGGTGAGCACAGTGATGTTCAGGAACAAGAATATCTCCAACACAGGGTTGCACAGTGATGTTCAGGACCAAGAATATCTCCAACACAGGTGAGCACAGTGATGTTCAGGGTCAACGATATCTCCAACACAGGTGAGCACAGTGATGTTAAGAACCAACGATATCTCCGAAACAGGTGAGCACAGTGATGTTCAGGACCAACAATATCTCCAACACAGGGTTGCACAGTGATGCTAAGGACCAACGATATCTCCAACACAGGTGAGCATAGTGATGTTCAGGAGCAATGATATCTCCAACACAGGTGAGCACAGTGATGCTTAGGGCCAACAATATCTCCAACACAGGTGTGCACAGTGATGGTCAGAACCAACGATATTTCCAACACAGGTGAGCACAGTGATGCTCAGGACCAACGATATCTCCAACACAGGTGTGCACAGTGATGCTTAGGGCCAACGATATCTCCAACACAGGTGAGCACAGTTATGTTCAGGACCAAGAATATCTCCAACACAGGTGAGCACAGTGATGTTCAGGACCAACGATATCTCCAACACAGGTGAGCACAGTGATGTTCAGGACCAACGATATCTCCAACACAGGTGAGCACAGTTATGTTCAGGACCAACGATATCTCCAACACAGGTGAGCACAGTTATGTTCAGGACCAACGATATCTCCAACACAGGTGAGCACAGTGATGTTCAGGACCAACGATATCTCCAACACAGGTGAGCACAGTTATGTTCAGGACCAACGATATCTCCAACACAGGTGAGCACAGTTATGTTCAGGACCAACGATATCTCCAACACAGGTGAGCACAGTTATGTTCAGGACCAACGATATCTCCAACACAGGTGAGCACAGTGATGTTCAGGACCAACGATATCTCCAACACAGGTGAGCACAGTGATGTTCAGGACCAACGATATCTCCAACACAGGTGAGCACAGTTATGTTCAGGACCAACGATATCTCCAACACAGGTGAGCACAGTGATGTTCAGGAGCAATGATATCTCCAACACAGGTGAGCACAGTGATGTTCAGGACCAACGATATCTCCAACACGGGTGAGCACAGTTATGTTCAGGACCAACGATATCTCCAACACAGGTGAGCACAGTTATGTTCAGGACCAACGATATCTCCAACACAGGTGAGCATAGTGATGTTCAGGACCAACGATATCTCCAACACAGGTGAGCACAGTGATGTTCAGGACCAACGATATCTCCAACACGGGTGAGCACAGTTATGTTCAGGACCAACGATATCTCCAACACAGGTGAGCACAGTTATGTTCAGGACCAACGATATCTCCAACACAGGTGAGCATAGTGATGTTCAGGACCAACGATATCTCCAACACAGGTGAGCACAGTGATGTTCAGGACCAACGATATCTCCAACAAGGGTGAACACAGTGATCTATGCTGTTAGGTTTCTCATGGACTGTTGTTTGTAATTTTGTTATTTGATTATTAAATCTTATTTGCATTTGGATCCAGTTCACGCTTCTCTTTGAGTTCACTTCGTATTAAGTACAGTACATTTCATTAGAATTATGCAGTACTGTCATACTATATTATGGACAGTGTCATGCAATGTGTGACCTGAATATAAATTTTCTAAATATCTAACAATAAACACATAAATCAATATTGTTAGCAGTGTGGACTCACCCAAATGACTTTCAATGAAGGATCCATTTACAGGAAAGATGATATAAGGGAATGAATATCTTGATGCTGTGTGAAAACATTGTTGAATTAATAACAATTAAATAAATAATAAATTAATTAGATAAAGTAGAATCAAATAGTTACATCGATATGTTGGTGAAATACTGATCATTTAAAAAAAATCTCTAATACTTGCATGTGAAAGCATTGAGATTGTTAGAGGTGACCGTTTCTGGTACAAAACTTTCAGATTCTGGAGCTAAAAAAAATGTAAGACAGAGTGATAATTTGCTTTACTGTCTGGCAGGTTTAGAAAGCAAGAAATGTAACGTGCTGGTCATAAAACAGTGGTAGTGGCACAACCATCCTTATGACAAAGGGAATGTATTTACCGGACACATGAACTCTCCAGGTCCTGCTCACATTGTATATGGTGTTGTTGAAAATCACATTTAGCCTACAGGTGTAGAAGCCCTCATCTTTCACAGAGATGTTCATGATGGACAGGATTATGCCTCTCTCCATCGTATACTGTCCTCTGCCAACAGGAAGAGCTGCGTTCTGAAAATCAGTCTCTGTCACTTAATCAATTGACATTTGAGGAATACAGCCATTTTTGTCATTTCAGTTAGTTAGTTTTCCACAATTACTTACCTTGTACCACATAGGATTTTCTTTCCATTTAAAATATTTCAAGTGGGGACAAATTAATTTTGTATCTTCTCCTGCATGTGCGTTGTAGGTCATTACCATGTTTGGCTCCTCTACCTCATAAATCGTTATGGAAATACTCCCGGTGAGACAAAATGTGTCACTCCTAAGTGAAAAATGCATTACTAACTATATTTAACTAACAAAAACAAATTTCATAATACAAACTGTTTTAAAACTGTATTAAAAAAAGTTAATTGCAAACCCATTCAATAACATACAGCACATGTGCCGATTGTGCTGGAGTTTCTTCTGGATTTAGTGCTTAAATCAGAGTTTTTCATATTACTACATTTCATTTTTATTTCAAATCTAGTTTGGGCACTTTCTAAAAAAGGTCAACTCAAACCTTTTATTTAAAGGGACACTTCACCCATTTGCATTAAGCTTTATATCTTTGGAAACCCAGCCATATTTTTGAATGGTCATGGAGATTTGGTCTGAGATGGGAGAAATAAGGATTTAAGTGATTTACTTCCTGCTTATTATGACGTAAAAATCGTCATTTTGCTTCCTAATAAGTAGGAAGTCACATTTCATTAAAGAGTGTAGAGACTACCAACATTAGCTCATTATTATTCAAGGATGTGGGACCCACTCACCCTACAGGCCTATTACAGATCAGTGGGTGGAACTTCACTTGCAGATACTGAATCAATATCAGCCATTTTGTTAGGAAGCTAAAATAACAAGCGCTGTGGAGATAGGAAGTTATAACAATGATGGAAGAAACTAAACATGATATGGAAGAAGAGGATTTTGAAATTCTGCTGCTCGAATCCGAAGTTCGTGGCTATCTTTGCAAGCCGCAGTATGGTGAAGACCAGCTGAGGCTAATGGAGGAACAGGAGGCGGCTGCCTGTCGCGGTCAAGGAGCCGGACTGGCTCGAGCTGGGCAGACCGCTGGTGCATGTGCTCTCGGTCGAGGAACCCGGACTGGCTCGAGCTGAGGCGGACTGCTGTGCCTGTGCTCTCGGTCGAGAAGCCCGGACTGGCTAAAGCTGAGGCGGACTGCTGTGCCTGTGCTCTCGGTCGAGAAGCCCGGACTGGCTCTAGCTGAGGCGGACTGCTGTGCCTGTGCTCTCGGTCGAGAAGCCCGGACTGGCTAAAGCTGAGGCGGACTGCTGTGCCTGTGCTCTCGGTCGAGAAGCCCGGACTGGCTCTAGCTGAGGCGGACTGCTGGTGCATGTGCTCTTGGTCGAGGATCCCGGATTGGATCGAGCTGAGGCGGACTGCTGGTGCCTGTGCTCTCGGTCGAGGAGCCGGACTGGCTAAAGCTGAGGCGGACTGCTGGTGCATGTGCTCTCGGTAGAGGAGCCCGGACTGGCTCAAGCTGAGGCGGACTGCTGTGCCTGTGCTCTCGGTCGAGAAGCCCGGACTGGCTCGAGCTGAGGCGGACTGCTGGTGCCTGTGCTCTCGGTAGAGGAGCCCGGACTGGCTCAAGCTGAGGCGGACTGCTGTGCCTGTGCTCTCGGTCGAGGATCCCGGATTGGATCGAGCTGAGGCGGACTGCTGTGCCTGTGCTCTCGGTCGAGAAGCCCGGACTGGCTCGAGCTGAGGCGGACTGCTGGTGCCTGTGCTCTCGGTAGAGGAGCCCGGACTGGCTCAAGCTGAGGCGGACTGCTGTGCCTGTGCTCTCGGTCGAGGATCCCGGATTGGATCGAGCTGAGGCGGACTGCTGTGCCTGTGCTCTCGCTCGAGAAGCCCGGACTGGCTCGAGCTGAGGCGGACTGCTGTGCCTGTGCTCTCGGTAGAGGAGCCCGGACTGGCTCGAGCTGAGGCGGACTGCTGGTGCCTGTGCTCTCGGTCGAGGAGCCCGGACTGGATCGAGCTGGGCGGACCGCTGGTGCCTGTACTCTCGGTCAAGGAGCCGGACTGGCTCAAGCTGGGTGGACTACTGGTGCCTGTGCTCTCGGTCAAGGAGCCGGACTGGCTCAAGCTGAGGCGGACTGCTGGTGCCTGTGCTCTCGGTCGAGGAGCCGGACTGGCTCGAGCTGAGGCGGACTGCTGGTGCATGTGCTCTCGGTCGAGGAGCCGGACTGGCTCGAGCTGAGGCGGACTGCTGGTGCATGTGCTCTCGGTCGAGGAGCCGGACTGGCTCGAGCTGAGGCGGACTGCTGGTGCCTGTGCTCTCGGTCGAGGAGCCGGACTGGCTCAAGCTGAGGCGGACTGCTGGTGCATGTGCTCTCGGTCGAGGAGCCGGACTGGCTCGAGCTGAGGCGGACTGCTGGTGCATGTGCTCTCGGTCGAGGAGCCGGACTGGCTCGAGCTGGGCGGACTGCTGGTGCCTGTGCTCTCGGTCGAGGAGCCGGACTGGCTCAAGCTGAGGCGGACTGCTGGTGCATGTGCTCTCGGTCGAGGAGCCGGACTGGCTCGAGCTGGGCGGACTGCTGGTGCCTGTGCTCTCGGTCGAGGAGCCGGACTGGCTCAAGCTGAGGCGGACTGCTGGTGCATGTGCTCTCGGTCGAGGAGCCGGACTGGCTCAAGCTGAGGCGGACTGCTGGTGCATGTGCTCTCGGTAGAGGAGCCCGGACTGGCTCGAGCTGAGGCGGACTGCTGTGCCTGTGCTCTCGCTCGAGAAGCCCGGACTGGCTCGAGCTGAGGCGGACTGCTGTGCCTGTGCTCTCGGTCGAGGAGCCCGGACTGGATCGAGCTGAGCGGACCGCTGGTGCCTGTACTCTCGGTCAAGGAGCCGGACTGGCTCGAGCTGAGGCGGACTGCTGGTGCATGTGCTCTCGGTCGAGGAGCCCGGACTGGTTCAAGCTGAGGCGGACTGCTGGTGCATGTGCTCTCGGTCAAGGAGCCGGACTGTGAACTACGAACACAGATAGAGTCCGTCTGGCAGTCCGTATGTGTAGGTTAGAATTTCAACAATGGCAATATCTCCTGAACGAAATCTCTGAATCAGACAAGCAGACGTTTGTGTTGTGATGTGAACCATCCTAGTTTCGCCTGACTGAACATCCAGGTATCATGCAGTAATTCACCATATAGAAATAAATACAAACGAGGAGTAATTCACTAATGAGTTTGCCAATGTAACGGGCTTCGTTTTTGTGGGAAGAAGGAGGCGGGAACCGGCGAACATTTAAACATTTTAATAGTAAAATAAACAAATACAAAACGAAAGTATAAGCCAGCGGCCCCTCATTGACGACTGCTGTCCACATACAACAGAAACAAAACACAATATAAAATCATGCCTATTTCTCTCTCGATCTGCCGTCATCGCTCCTCATTTTATGCTTTCGCTCCTCCGTGAGGTGCACGCCTCACAGGTGTCTTTCATCATCACTCACGCCACCGGCCTTGCGCCGTCCTCTCACGCCCCTCGTCCTGCTCGCCACAGCCAACTAACTAGAAATTTTGCAGACTGATCTCATGAAGTAGCGTGTGTATGACACGTCAATTCATATTTCCATTTTTGGCGTGCTATCAAGACGCATAATAGCTTTTCAGCGTGTTTATGAACGCCGTTGACTTAACGTTATATAAATATATGACTTACCTCAACCTCGTCCCTAAACCTAACCGTCACTGGGGTTAATGGCATTTATGACTGTTCCCTTACCATCCTAGGAAAGAAAAAGATATGACTTACCTCAACCCCATCCCTAAACTTAACCGTCACTGGGGTTAATGGCATTTATGACTGTAGATTTGACGTCGTGTACAGACACGCTGAATGACGCGGTCGTTAATGGCGTAGACATACACGCAAACACGTGGATACATGCGGATAGCTACAAAAATTGCATAGAGATAACACGCCACTTGACTTGATAGTGGCATGTATGTTTACGCAAAAGTCATTATGTCATGTTGAATTTTGTATGAAATGAATTTCAAACTCTGGTGGCAGCTAACGTTAGCCTTGTAGACGGAAGAGTGATTTCTCTGTTTGCGCTGTTCCGGATTAGTGGGTGTGGCTTGTGGAGCTGTGCAATGTGAGTTGTTGTCTTGCATACAAATGCACCCTTCAGTTATTTTCTATCTTTTCTCGGTCAAGAGGGCACCAAATTCAAAAATTCTTTTACATTTCAACTACATATATGATCCACTTTCAATAAAGATTAATGTTGAAATGGGTGAAATGCTCCTTTAATGATTAAAGACATCCCTCCTAGAGTAACTTCCATACAAGATTGAGTTCTTTTCAGCGATATAATTATTTTATTTTATTTTTTCCAATTTTCAAGTTTCTATTTAAATACATTCCTGGAGGGTTTAGTTCCAATCCTCATCAAACACACCTGTCTGTAATCAAGTCCTATTTTTAGGAAGACCTCGAGAAATGATATTAAAGGTATTAGTACTAATACTAATGGTATTAGTCTATATTTAAAATATTTAATTAATTTAGCATGTTTTTATCTACATAAATCAATCACATCAAACCTTTTAAGAAAATAAATTGCTCTTATAAATATAAACCATGCTTAATGCGCATGAGTGGTGTGAACTACATCAGACTGACAAAGTTAGGGAATGCTGGACTCATATTTCACCCCAAAATCAAAAGCTGTTTTTTTCTTACCATAACCCATTTATATTTAGCCTTCTGTAAAATTAAATATTATATATTAATGTATCATTTAAATGATAAAGTATGTTTGTAAAGTACTATTGCAAGTGAACATTATGGTAATATTTTGTTGCACTGTAACTCATCTATATTTTGAAGAATTGAGAAACAATGCACAGCTATAAGCTCTGACCTGAGGATGTAGCTGTATGTTCCCGAGTCCGACGGGTGAGACGGAAGGAGCAGGACTCCACGGCCGCTCTGCTTCACCCGATCACGGTAGCTCTTCAGACTGCTCTGGTTCCTTGGGTTTGTGTGATCAACCTGGAATGTTGAGCTGTTGTCCAGTCGCAATTCCCTGTAATCAATCGCATCTTCAAGAAATGGGAATCTGATGAAAACCGCCTCGCCTTGTACTTGATAATCCGGGATCTCTGGACCCACAACCACACAACTACCTGAACCAATCACAAGAAGTTATTAAATAACATACAATATTACTGTTATAGTAATGGTGCAAGCATAGTATCAACAACACAACTAGGATATTCAATACTAGTGTTTTCAGATGTCTGAGTTTACCAGGGTCCAGGAATCACAAGGTGCCTATATCTGGAAAGTTCTCTAAAACAGTGTTTCTACATATTGGTCCCGGGGACAACAGCTCTGGGCATTTTGTATGTCTCCCTTATTTACAGTTACATTTACATTTATTCATTAATTCGCTTTTATTCAAAGCGATTTACAATTGCTATATATGTCAGAGGTCGCAGGCCTCTGGAGCAACTAGGGGTTAAGTGTCTTGCTCAGGGACACATTGGTGTCTCACAGTGGATTCGAACCCGGGTCTCTCACACCAAGGGCATGTGTCTTATCCACTGCACCATCACCACCCCATGATGGATTCCACCCTTGGATGGAACACCACACTTATTTAACACAGATGATTGAGACCATTAGCTAATTAGGTGAGATGAACTGAATCAGATGTGTCAGATTAGATAGACATACAAACTGTACAGAGTGGTGGATACAGAGTGGATTGAAAACCACTGCCCTAAAAATGTAAATATTTTGTAGTTCACACTGGCAGCGAATTGCAGGAACAAAGTGAACATGTTCATTTTCAGTTAGATGCTGGCGACTTCCGGTGAAGAACAGTTGAGAACACTTATACAAATGAGCAGTGACTTTGTTGGTATGCAACAAATACCAAGGGGAGTGAAGTAGAGCACACAAGAGTCATCTCTGGTAATATACTGTATTGGTGTTTCAGCAAGAGTGCCCAAGACTGGGCGCCCACAGAGAGTCAGGGCCTCGGTTTATCGTCTTATCCGAAGGACGGGGCTCTTTGACAGTATAGTGTCCCCATCACTCTACTGGGGCGTTAGGACCCACACAGACAACTGAGTGAACAGCGCCCCCTGCTGGCCTCACTAACCCCTCTTCCAGCAGAATACAGTTTACCCGTCAGACACTGACCAGCCTCAGCCCTGCTTAGCTTCAGTGGGCGACTGGTCTTGGGCTACAGGGTGATATGGCTGCTGACCATTTATATGACATAACTGTACGACTCCTGTACGTCACTGCAATCGTCTATACCTTGATTCCAATCCTTAGCCATCTAAACTTTACTACTAGCAAGACACTGGTTTGCTGTGACACAGACACAGACACTGAAGCGCAGTGGACGTATCATCTGGCCATAGAGCGGCGTTCTGTTCAGTCGATATTTCACACAGAGCAATGTGTGAAACAACCCTAGAATGTGACAGAGATCGTGTTTTACAGTGATGATCACACACACTGGAATTTGTAATTCACTGAAAACTGGCCACAAGTCACTGTTCCCTCGCTGAGGTAATCAGCCTGGTTGTATTACGTTCATGGTGCAATTTCACTTGCTTCTGTAATTTATTTGCGTTCAATTATTTTAATGCGTTAAAGGGATAGATCACCCAAAAACTGAAATTCTGTCTTCATTTACACAAATGGTCAAATTTAACACAAAATAAAAATATTTTGAAGAATTTGATACCAGACAGTTAGCAGCCATTGATTTAAATACTGTGGAAGTCAAGTGCTACCATCAACTGTTCGATTACCGAAATCCTTCTTTTGTGTTCATTAGAAGAAAGTAAGATTGGAACAACTTCAGGGTGAGTAAATGATGACAGAATTTTCATTTTGGGTGAACTATTCCTTTAAGGATTTTACATTAATTGCATGCATTAGCACGTTAATATGTATATACGTATATATATATATATACATATACTGTATATATATGGTAACACTTCATTTTAGGCCCCGTCCACACGAAGACGCGTTTCGCTGTATACGTATACATTTTTTATCGTATTGCGTTTCGTCCACACGGATCCGGCGTTTTGGGAGAGAGAAACCGCTATTTTTTGAAACCGGGTCCCAATATAATATAATATAATATAATATAATATAATATAATATAATATAATGCGGCAGAAACTTCTGAGTCTCTTGTATTCCTTTATTTATTATTTATTTGAATGTGGTTTTTTTAGGCCTATACAATCTTTCGTATGCTGCTTATCTGTTATCTGATAAAGACATTTCGTATTTTCTAGGGATGGGGATTTAAAGCAAAAATAATTTTCGACGATCGATGGGAATTATTTGATTATTTTTGATTATTGATTTTTTTTTTATTGAATCTATGTTGATTATAAAAAGAGAACTGCGTGCATGTGCGCAATAGGCTATATCGGTAGACCTAATTCTGACCACATTAAGTTTTGTTTTCGCACAGTACCAGAAAAAAAAACATTTTTGGACTTAATAAGATAAATACATAAAATTAATAGAAATACATAAATAAACAAATAATCTGGCACCATAGGGTCATCATGTCCACCAAGCCATGTTTTATCAGCCTTCAAAAATCTGTATGGTTGTAAACCCAATACATATTAATATTTCATATAATATTCATATTCCCATTCGTAAAATCAACGTTTGGGGGTTTGCGTCGTGCACGTGCTGCATATATTACCTCTCTGCCGTCGTGCGCGTGCTGCATCTATAATTCTATTTTATATATATATATATATATATATATATATATATATATATATATATATATATATTATTAACTGTTGGCAAACTAAGATTGTTTGTAGAATTTGTCAAATTCTTATTTTTACCTGGGTGCGCTTTCCCATGTTTCCTTGTGTAAGCAGTTGGAACATTTATTACATTTATTAAACATGTAGAATACTTTCCAGAGCATTACATATAGTATTATAAATTCAGACGTTTGTGATATATAAAAAAATAAAACATAAGATTATCTTTTTTAAATTAGATTGAACACGGAGCAGTTTTTTCCTGTGAGTGAGACTGGAAAACCCGTAGTGGATTAGAGAGTGATAACAGAACGCTTAGAGTGCAGAGAGGAACGGGCTTTTGCTCCAGTCCTGGTTTTGCGTCCGTGCCGTTAGGAGCTAAGCTCTAGATTAGTGTATTTTTTAACTAATTTGCGGTAAAACTAGTCGATCACGAGTGGCTCATCAGGTAGATCTATCTTTCAGGGATTTGACCGGCCGGATTCACACTTCAGCGTGAGAAATCGGGGGTGTGTGTGGCGTGAGAGCGTGAGAATTGGCTCAATTTTGCGTGAGAGTTGGCAAACTCACGCTCAATGCATGAGAGTTGGCAACCCTGCAATCATGTGTTTGACTAGAGATCTACGGCATTTGACGCTATGCTGCTGCTGCGTCTCAATAAAGATTCTAGAGCGTTTTTTTTTTGTTTTTTTTTATTCAGATCAACTCCAAAAAGGAGGACAAATGAGTGTCCGGCTTGAGGCTGCGCCGGACGCCGGACACGGAGCTGAAAAAATCCGGACTGTCCGGCCAAAATCCGGACGTATGGCCAGTTGGCCACCCTACTTGCAGATGAGCAAACACTCTTCCAGATGTAAATAGGAAATCAAACAGCCTTGTGCTATCTGGGTTACTGCGAAGTGGCGAGTCAGCATCATCAACTTCCTGTCAAGAATGACACAGAAAACATGCAGTTTATTTAACAATTAAACAATTAAAATGTCTATTTGACACATTCGTTACTTTTGCCGGTTATTGTGGCAAACTTTCTGAGTCCGCAAACTAATCGATTATCGTGACTCCCTATTTTGTACCAGGCAATTTATGGTTGTTCAATAAAGTTCTTGGTAAAAAAGAAAATAAGCAACTGTGCGTAATATTATTTCATAGGCTTTTATTTTACTGCCTACAGCGCGCAAGCTTTTATGCGCATGCTCTAGTCTTCTTCTCGCATTTTTAGTGCATCTCTACACTCTCTACATTAGTGTATGTGCCACATACTGGTCTGGGATGTCTACTACATCGTTTTCAGTCGGTTTCAGTGGTTTCGTGTGGACGCAGATATTTTTCGAGACGCCTCCGTGTTTTACAGACTTTTTTTAGAACGAAGAAAAAAAATATCGGATAGGGAAAGCTCTGGCTTCGTGTGGACGAGGCTTTAAGGTGCTTGTAAGCAGTAATTAACAGTTAATTAGACACTTACAAGACCTTATAAGATGCATATAAGATGCATTAACTATGTAATTAATGTTCTATTCATTATAAATCTCATCAAGTCTCATCTAATGCTTTTATGCATTTTTACATTTATTCCAAAATAATAACTAAAGGCACAATTTAACAATTAAAACAAAATATTTGTTCTGTTTAATAGTCAACTTCTTTTCACCGGTCATCAAGCTCGGTAAACACTGTCCCAGACATGGAGAGGCACCTTTAATTTCACAAAGCAGATCGCTCACTAAACCCCTCACAGTCCATTTCGTGTTTGATTTTGATATCACTAAGCGGAGATATCTAAATGGCTGAGTTGTTTATTTACTTTTTAATTAGTCCTCGCAATAACGGCATCATTTTGCTCATTCAGACCGATTCACGCACGAAAAGGCAGGATTTTTCGCACGAACCAGTCATATCCAACCATAACCAACTATATCCAATCATAGCACGATGGAGGCGTCACCTCCTCTCTCCATCCCCCCCGCTGAGCCCAGCGCACGCTTCAGGGGTCTGTTGAAGTCTATGGGCTCAGAGGCACGGGAGACACAGGCTCTCACCCCACCTTTACCTGCGGGTGTCCCTGTTGGACAGGTTTCATGTTTACTTTTTTAATGTCACATTTTCTCATCCATTTTTTAGGCACTGCCTCCCTTGGAAAACGCCCTAGATATATTTATACATACATATATTCTATGGTGTTGCATAAACCCATATTTACCTTTCAGAGCCAGTGCAGAGTTAAGGATCAATCTCATGGAAAGTATGACAATGCACATCTCAAAATCAAAGAGACGCTATTAGGAAAGATCATACATCAGAATACACAACATAAGACATACATGAAAAATATACCAACATAACACATCCATTAACATGAATACATATTGATCTACAGAATCTAAATAAAATGTGAATCTTTGAACTTAACAGATCTCTGCATTTTTTTATGTTGTTACTAATCAAGTATCCATCCATTCACATTTTCTATGCTAGAATGAAAAGATTCAATAATGAATTTCGGCTCTCACCTGCCTATGGATGATCATGATGATTAAATGTGAAGAGCTGAGCTGACAGAAGAAAAGAGGGATACGCAGCTGACAGACGTCTGTGTTTCTGTTTTATGGACAGGTTATGGGGGAAACCCTAATCCTTCCTCGTCAATAAGAGGAAATTCCACATTTCCAAATCAGAGTGCCGATCAAACTTACCTCTCCACAGAAGACGACGACAAAGACCAACTCATAGAAACACATGCCATGGGTTTGCTGGCGATGATGATACAGTAAATATTGCTTCGAAAGCTTAAACAGGCACATATTGTTGTGACACATGACAAATTGTATGAAACCCAAAATACAAAACAGACAAAGCTGTTAGAAAGATAATGCATTGTGTATTTTCCCATATAGTAGGCTTGATTTATAAACAGTACAATAAGCATTTAAATCTCGGGTGATTTGATCACAACAAGTAAAGCTGTTATCATGTTCCTGTGTACTTCGTGCGCTCTGTCTGATGCAATCGTGATGTTCTTAAACAAATGCCAGTGTTAGTACATTTTGGGGGAAACGAGGAAACTGATGAAATATTTGCAGTTCCCCTACAGATATCTATTATATGTAAATGTATATGTGTGTGTGTGACCCATTCTGGCAAAATGAGCTGCAATGAGTACATTTTCAAAAATTAATTCTTGTTATTCACATTCTCTACAGACAAAAATTGAGCTACACCAGTTTGAAGTCGATAGAGTCAACGAAGTAAATTGAGAAAAAAATATAGTTCATGTTTTTTGAAGGGTCTAAAACAAAATCGCTTAGCAACCATCCCCTAAAATCCATGATAATAACAGCAAATTTGCCACACACCAAGCCAAAACCAAATATCGATAGGAAACTTTTTCTCCCCATGATACCTTAATTGTTTGATTAACATTAATGTAATCTTTATATTAAGACCTGTCAACATGGACCTACAGAAAACAACAAAACGTATTCTCAGAAAATGTCACGGAGCGCTCAGCCACGCTCCCATCTCTCCCTCTGGTCATTATCAATCTTCATCCCCGCCTGGTTTATCTGATCATCATCACCATCACCTGTTTCATTGTTGCTTTGCGAAGTCTTGTTTTGCTCTGCAGACATTACCAAGTGTTTTCCCTGTCTCCTGTTATTATCTGGGACTTAGATCTGGAATCTGTAAACCTTTGCTGCCTGCCTTGACCTTTGCCTGCGTTTCATTACGAGAACTGGATTGTCCCTTTATCTGAGCCTGTTTCTGTTCATGTCTGCTTCTCTCTGCTTAATTGCATGTGTGAATAAACTACTGCAAATGGATCCAAACGCCTCTGACTCAACATTACAGAAGACACGCAAATAAAGGCACTTTTAGATAATAAAACTGTTTAAATGTTATTGACAAGATATTCACTTGTTTTTCCAGTCTCATGGGCATCCTGACTCATTTCTCCAGCATGGGTCACGTGTACAGTAAGGAAAATAAGTATTCTCCCCCTTCAGGGGTCTGAAATTGTCATCGTAGGTGCATGTACACCCTGAGAGACATAATCGAAAAAATAAAAGCGTTAGAAATCCATCCAGAAATCAGAATGTATGATTTTTTAACTATTTATTGGTATGATACATGCTGCAAATAAGTATTTGAACACCTGTCTATCAGCTAGAATTCTGGCCCTCAAAGACCTGTTAGTCTGCCTTTAAAATGTCCACCTCCACTCCATTTATGATCCTAAATTAGATGCCCCTGTTTGAGGTCGTTAGCTGCATAAAGACACCTGTCCAGCCCATACAATCAGTAAGAATCCAATAACATGGCCAAGACCAAAGAGCTGAGACCGCCGTTTCCAAGGTTACTGTTGGTAAGACACTAAGACTAAGTCATGGTTTGGCACGGAAGGTTCCCCTGCTTAAACCAGCACAGGTCGAGGCCCGTTTTAAGTTTGCCAATGATCATTTGGATGATCCAGAGCCTACAGTGTTCTTGCCCCATACGTGTGGTTAGCCGGCCACTAAATGGTCATGTTTATTTAGCTCCTTCCTTCCTTCCTCTATTTTGACATTTCAGTTTGGTTTATCTTTTATTAGTTCTCATTTCTGTGCTTTTGTCAAGTTTGGTTTTAGGTTTTGATTTAACTTTCTGGTCTTTTATTTTGTATAACCCTTCCAGTCATGGTTCCTGTTTGTGATGAGTTTTCCTTGCTGGCCCCGCATGTCACGGCCCCGGTCTTTGATCCAACTCTGTGGTTTCCATTTCCACTGGCCCCAGTATGACCACCTGATCCTCCATGGTTTGCCCTTCATCCAAGGGTCCAGTTCGTGCTTCTGCTCCAGGATCTTGGCCATGTCCCAATCCCCCATCCTCTTCAAGGGCCCGGCCCTTCTTGTTTTAGCGATGATCCAGAATCCTATAGGGGATTATCACGCTGACACGTAGGACTTCCGGATTCAGTGATCTTTGTGCACTGCCACTTCCGTTGAACGACCGATCTCACTGGCGAATTGATGACGGACTACACTAAGTTTATATAGACGGCATCCCTGGTAAATTGAAATCTGATTCACTAAAGTGCCGGCTGCAAACAAACGTGCTAACTTGTTTTATTTTAAAGTTTTAATCCAGTTCTTCCTTATACTCAATTCAGTCGGGAATCCATGACAACTTACGTAGGGTTGGCGTTGTTGGTTAGATTTACAAAGTGGAACAGAGCAGTGACATATATAGCCTTCGTCTCAGATGAACTGCGTCGGAAGTGGACCGCCCACGAAACCCGGAAGCGTGATAATCCCCTATTGGGTTTTTGTCGAGGGAACCAGTGCGATGCGAACTGCCGGGTTAGCCTATGCATTTATTTTTCCTTCACCACTCTATGCCAAGAGTCTTCAAAACAAGTTCAACTGAATAAACACTGTTAATGCAGACATTACAGACCTCTTATTAACCAGCCGTACTTACGCTTTTCTGCGTCTTTATGCAAAGGGAACCTCACACTTTCTTACGCTTTACTGATATATAATGAAATATTGTTTAAGATCTACATCTGTTTACAATTTCATCTTAACATGGTTCTAAGGCCTCGGGGAGAGCGTGATTTTTGCATACGAGTGGTTTGTAAATTTAGAAAACACTTTAGAATGGAAGTTATCGATGAATCATGATTTGTTTGAGAAAATGTTCATATACAGATTCATTTCTCCAAGCCTAGACCATTATCAGAGGTCATGTCCTGACCTTTTTATAGGTGATCAATCCCTTGATGAAGAAGAAAAATGAAATGTGCATCACTCCTTTAAGTAAACCGATTTTATTTTCAAAGAAAAACAAAAGGACCATCAGGAAAATACAGGACTTCCTGTCATATACAGAGGACGTACGATACAGTGCCACGACTGAAAACAGACAACCAGTCAGCCAAGAACATATTCAGAAAGTCAAAGCAGCGCTGAGGAAACACCATCTGTATTATTATTATTATTATTAATAACAAGAATTATGGTTGAAATATATCAAAACAATATCTTGAAATAAAACACAACGATGAACATTAGATTTACAAAATTTTGCTCGTTTAAACTTGCTTTCTTCTTTTTTTGTTTATTTCCGGTCACTGTATTATGCGATAACTGCGTGTAGGACTGGGTCTTAACTGTGTGTAGGACTGAGGGATCTTCAAAGGTAATGCTTAGAAAAAGGGAAAGAAAGAGCGCCAAACCAGTTTCTAAACATGTATGTTCACTTTTAGGTTTTGCCACTGGCACAATTCACTTTCTTTTTAAAGTTTGACAGATTTGTTAAAATACTAAAATCAAATCTAATACTAATTATCACAAGAAACAGAAATGTCAAAATGATAGAACATATAAATCTATAAATACTGTGTGTGGGGAGAGCAGAAGTGAGGCATGAACTAAAAAGAGAAAATAACTCCAGAAATCATAATAGACATAATCATACAGATTCACTAAGTTTGTGTGTGAAAACCGTGAGAAAGAAACGATATAAAAGTAAAACAATAATAATAATAATAAAAACCCTAGAATCACCAAAAAGCTTTCTGCGGTGAGCGTCTCTTGACTCATGCATGCTCATCCCTTCCTTTTCATATGTTTCAGTTACTTAACAGCACAGTCCTGCCTTTTATTAAATATATACAGTTCAGTTACAAATGATAATAATAATAATAATAATAATAATAATAATAATAGTCCATGACCAAGACAGTCTTTCTCATAAAATTTAAGGTAATGTTTCCATAACTGAGATTAAGTTATTACGGGATATCTAAACTCGGTTTGTATTCTCAGATCAGCATTGTCGCTGCCTGATGGAAAACGCATATCTTGGAACAAAAGGGCATCATAAACAGTCATACAAAATGAATTAAATGTCAGTTTTATAACTAGGGTTTCTGTTCTGGATGAGTGGACCGTTCGGTTCCAAGTCCAGTGCATAAAATGCCAGAACTAGCTTTCGTACGCTCTTCAGAACAGAAGGATAGGACACAAGGTGTTGATGCGCACTTCTCAAGGCCAGTGGAGATACTGGTTCAACAGAGACGGATTAAACCTCTTTCATTGGTCATTTCAATGTAGGAATGAGGCCACTGTCATGCGGCAGAAGAAAACGAGGGAAGAGGGAAACGAGAGAAGACGAGAAAAGATGTGGCACAGCACAGTCCACATTAAATTGACATTTATCCAAATCCACGTTTTTGATGTGCCAAAAGCAAACCCGAGGCTAACACAGCTGTCCGCTTCCTGTTGACATCACGTGACCATTAGCGGATTCGTAAGATGGTCCATAACGCTCTGCTTGGGAACACTGGAATTCTATCAGCAAATGTTGAACCTCTCAGGCACCGTCATCCACATCACTGCGCATAACTACTCTGCTTAGTAAAAACAAATCAATAAAAAAACCTAGAAATAAATAACCCATAAATAAAAATACAGGACAAAAAGCCATTTTGTGTTTCACCATTGTTATGACACTATTTGTGACTGAGAGACACATTAGCAGAATTTCACCGTTCCTCTCAGCTGAGTCAGATTTTATTAAACTCTAGAGAAAGACATTTACACAGACTAGCAATAATACTGTAGAATACTCAAGCCAGTTCCTCATGCAGCACGCTGCAAAAGGACGCAGATGTGTGTGTGTCAGTCCTTCAGCGGGCTCTGGCGTGTGTGTGGCCTGGCCTCCGCCGATCCTGGAGAAACGTCAGTGGTAGAAGATCAGGGTCATCGCTGTGATTACCAGCTGAGCAGAGAGGTCCGGCCCAGAGTCATGAAGTAGACCTGGCTCGAGCCTCCCGAACGCACAGACGCGAAGAATACCTGCAGGAAACATCCAACAAACCATCAACGACAACTTCATCTAGCAGAGCATTCTTTCAGAGGTTACCATTCAAACAGATAATCAGAGCTTGAGTTATCAATATATCAATATACACTCCACTTAGTATATCCGGGTGAATCTAGAATCCAGAGTGAACACGGATCACGCTTATATCCACGGACAATAATAATGAGAGATGAATCATTAATGTGCTGATTTGAATAAATAATCATCATTAGACTGTAAAACACATGCATCACTCTTTTACGTCTTTAAACAACAGCGTATATCTCTTCAGGGAAAAAAAAAATCAAAGGAAAACATTCATTATTATTATTTTCCCAGGACAAAAGCACAGTGTGCAACTGGCAGCGGTTCGCTTTAATAGTTGACCAGGACAAATCAAATGCTGGGGATGTGATGCGTAACAGCTGCTGTAAATGACAGACTCATAAAGACAATATCCAGGCTTTGCTTGGGCTCAATGCAATTTCTTGAGTTTGTATTGTGAAGGTTGCAGTGACGGAAACAGTGACTTATTACAATGTCTTATTTTGATGGGAGTAAATCCTGTGTTTATGCTAGAAAGGAAACTAAATATTGGCAAAGAAGAACTTTTACTTGAGATAACCATTTAATTTAAAAGCAGCCTACTTCAGTGTAATATAATACCGTATCATAATAATAATAATAAAAAGCAGCAAAGCTACGAGTAGCCTTGTCAGAGACTCAATTGTAACATAATAAAATCATTTTAAAAAAGAGATCACTATGCTAAAGAGAACAGGTAGGTTTTTACCAAAGACTTAAAGATAGAAAGGTTGGGGGCCGTTCGGATCTCTAGGGGCAGGGTGTTCCACAGACCGGGCCCTGCCACTGCAAAAGCACGCTCCCCTCTAAGCTGAAGTCTGACACGAGGGACTACCAGCAGAGCCTGGTCGTGAGACCTTAGGCTTCTGGACGGAGTATAGAGATGAATAAGTTCGGAAAGATAGACTGGAGCTAAGTTATGTAAAGATTTGAAAACAAGTAGGAGGATTTTAAAATCTATTCTCTGCCGGACTGGCAGCCAGTGTAAAGATTTAAGAATTGGAGAGATGTGGTCATTTTGCGACAGTTGAGAATAAGTCTAGCCGCAGTGTTTTGGACCAACTGAAGACGGGCAATTTGAGAAACTAATATCCCACAATAAAGTGAATTGCAGTAGTCTTGCCTACACGTGATGAATGCATGAACCGCCATTTCCAAAGTTATCGGAGTAAGAAAGCCTTTGATTTTAGATAGTAAACCAAGTTGGTTGAAACCGGAGCTGATGACAGCTGATATGGGTTTGTCAAATTTTAAAGACTGGTCAACAAGAACACCCAAGTTCCACACTCCTGTCGACTTCTGGGCTTAAACACGGAGACCTTTCACTTGGGCTGAAAACAATGACCTCGGACTTATCATTATTTAGAGAGAGGAAGTTTTGAGCCAGCCATGCCTTCACCTCCTCTAAGCATAGCAGAAGAGAGTTTAATGCTGCCGGGTCATTTTTCTTGAATGGAATGTAAATTTGGGTGTCGTCCGCATACAAATGAAATGATACACTGTGTTTCCTTAAGATAGCGCCCAAAGGTAGCATGTAAAGAGAAAATAGAGAGGGAGCCAAAACGGAGCCCTGTGGAAGACCACAGGTTCGAGGGGCCATGGAGCTGGACAAATTACCCATCTTAACTAAAAACTTTCTGTCAGAAAGGTACGACCGAAACCATGACAAGACAGAGGCTTTTAGGCCCACCTCAGTCTCAAGTCTAGCCAACAGAGTAGGGTGGTCAACAGTGTCAAAAGCTGCCGAAAAGTCTAACAGAATTAGAACCACAGAATCACCAGAATCAGTGGAGATAAAAATGTCATTTATCACTCGCAGAAGGGCAGACTCAGTGCTGAAAGTACTGGAGTTTAAACACGATTTTCTCCAATAACTTGGAAATATAAGGCAAGACAGAGATGGGTCGGTAATTTTGTAAAATAGATGGATCCAGTGATGGCTTCTTGAGCAAAAGAGTGACCATAGCCACTTTGAGATTAACTGGAACAGAGCCCGTACTGAGACACTTGTTAAAAAGAGATACCAAACCTGGACCCACGATAATGCCAGGGCTTGGAGATCTCCCAGTCTCTTTAAAGAAACAGCTAAGAGAAAAGCTATCTTGAACGTGAGGTTCTAGGCGAAGCCGACTGGAGCTATTCGAAGGGAGCCACCACCAGGTCCCAGGAAGGAACCCTGGGCCAGACTGTCGGTCTCATCCTCCCAAATACCATGGAGAAATAGTATGACCAGTTGGTGCCTCCCCAAGGCCTACATTTAGTGGTGCATGGAACGCCGCAATGGCAGCCACGTACACCCAACGTGTGGATGGGGAGAGATTCGCAGAGAAACGATCTTGGGCCTAACTGGGCCTAACTCAAGTTCTCTACACCAAGTGGAAAAACATTCCACTTGAGGCCATATAATCTCCTAGTAGACGGAGCCCTAGAGATAAGTATGGTTTCGGCCACCCCAGATGACAGACAAGCATCTAGGGTAATGAGCCCCCTCAGAGACCAGAACCACAATTTACACAGCTCCGAACGTGGATGGAATACAGTGCCCTCTGCCATGGCAGAGCTATCAGGAGTGAAATTAAGTCCAAAAACCATACTTGGGCCGGCCAAAACGGGGATACCTCCTGTCACATACTCGCCAGGACTCCCGGGAGCAGAGCGATCGGGGGAAACGCGTACAGTCGAAGCCTCGGCCAGGCCTGTACCATGGCATCCAACCCCAATGGGGCTGGATGAGTGAGGGAGAACCAAAGTGGACAGTGGGATGTCCCTCGAGACGCGAACAGATCCGTCTCCATTGGTCCAAACCTCAGCCATATTCAACTCCACCACCGGGCCAGAGCAACATATATTGCTCTTATTGATAATATTTTCCCTTGGGACTATAAAATAATCTGATGCACCAAATCTGGATAGAGGGCGTGATCTGAGTCCCCCTTGTCGGTTCAGATAAGCTACCACTGATGTATTGTCTGAACGTATCAAGACGTGGTAACCCTTGATGTCTGGGAGGAAGCTCCTCAGAGCCCTTAACACAGCCAACATCTCTAAGCAATTTATATGCCAAGAATGATGATGGTCCTGCCACAGACCCCTGGCAAAGCGGCCGTCCATGACCGCACCCCAGCCAGTAAGGGAAGCGTCTGTCGAAACAGTTTTCCGGTGACACAACGCCCCTAACACTTGACCTTGGGACAAGAACCAAGGTTTCTTTCATATTAATAGGGAACGAAGGTATCTTTGCGTAACCTTTATTATACGGAAGGGATTCCCCTTGGGGGAAAACCCCTAGGCTTTGAGCCACCACTGAAGGGGCCTCATGTGAAGCAGGCCGAAAGGAATTATGTTGGATGCCGCTGTCATGAGGCCCAGCAGTTTTTGAAATTGCTTTACAGTTATGGCCTGGCCTAGCTTTATCCCAGACACCATGGCCAGGATAGATTCGATACGAACGAGAGACATATGTGCCCGCATTGTAACCGAATTCCATATCATGCCCAGAAGAGTAGTTTTCTGAGCTGGGTCCATCACATTTTCCTTAGTGTTGAGTCTCAACCCCCGGTTCTGAATGTGGCCAAGGATGACATCTCGATGCTGAACTGCCATTTCTCGAGACTGGGCCAATATGAGCCAGTCGTCGATGTAATTCAGTATACGGATGCCCTGAAGCCTCAGTGGAGTCAGAGCCTCATCTTCTACTTTGGCACTCAACGAAGGCGGTCGCATTTTCTCTCCCTCTCCCTTCCCTTACCTCCCCTGCTTTGCTCCTCTCGTCACGACTAGTCTACTGTCTTGTACTTTGAGAGACTCTCTCAGCACTGCTCTCCAAACTAAGAAATTATGGATTTGATCAACTGGTCTCTCAACGCAATTGACACCATCTTCTCGACGAGAAGCTTGGGTTCGGGGGAACCTGACTGCCCTGCCGGAACGTTCTCAGCTGGCCACACGGGAGAAGTGGGAGAAGTGGCGGGTCGTGTGTCTTGTGTCTGGCGGTCATCATGATTGAAGCGGTGGACAGAGCTGTCAGCACTGGGACTGTGTCTATGAACCAGAATATGGATAACATCATGGAGAAGCTCACAGCTTTGCAAAAGGATATGGATCGTTTCGGAGACCAGAGACCATGAGAATTAGCCGTGTAAATTGAATGCGGTTTTTCGCCCCAAGACCAAACAATACCAATCATATCTGTTTTCGGCCGCCCTCAACCAGCACTGGCCTTGGCCAAGGACGCTGTTGGAACAACTCCCCCGGAAGAGCACTGCAGTGAGCCGCTCTTGCATTCCTTCACCGACTCCCCAGACACCAGGTGATTGTTGACTCTGTCTGGGACCTGATCAAGGTTTTCTCCATGTTAACTTGCTGTGTATCGCTATGACAATCCTGCGGACTTGAGGCACCTAGATTATGATGCCAGGTATAGCGACTCTCCAGGCCTACACATACACGAACTCTTACACATACATACAGATATGCAATCACCCGCCGCACACTCCATCCCTCGCCTTCGTCGCTTTGTACGCTTTTCAAGCGAAGATGCCGCATCAGGAGAAAGATAGCTCACTAAAGCTTCCTTCATCTGCGGCATCTTTCCATAACCCGCCTCTCTCGCACCCACCACATTCAAATAATCATATAATGAATGTGATGAGATATGAAAAGAGAGGGTTTTTTCCCAGGATCTAGAGATCGCTTTATGAAGATCTGGGAAAACAGTAAGCCCAGTGCTGAGGTTGTGAACGGTCCTGCAGGAATCTCTCGTCTAGCTTGCTTTGACAGGGATCATCCTGCTTATTTTGTGGCCAGCTAAATATGAAGAGTTCAGATGCAAAAGCCTCTAAATGCCATTTGAAATTTTCTTCTTTAATGATGATTTTTATCAAACTTGTTAAGTTCAGTTCAGTAATTTCACTTAAATAACAATTAATAGGTAATTATCATTGCCATTTAAGTGAAATTACTGAACTTAAATATACAAGTTTGATAAAAATCATCATTAAAGAAGAAAATTTCAAATGGCTTTTAGAGGCTTTTGCATCTGAACTCTTCATATATATATATATATATATATATATATATATATATATATATATATATTTATTTTAAGTCCGGCCACAGTATGCATCACAACCACCACAAGCTCTACATAAGCAGAAACATGAGCCGGCGAGCGTGACTCATGTTGCTTGTTCCCGATGCTGAGCACATCTACTAGATAGCTCAAGCACCGGGCACTTGTCACAGGCAGAAGAAATCGCATCGCGGGCTTCTGTGTCATGAACGAGTGTTATAGAATCTGCTGATGATAAACGAAAAGTGCCTCAGCAGTCTCGTTCTCATCCGCAAGAACCTTCTGCGATCCCCGCGATCTCTAAGCCGGTAGCAGAATCGTGGGGATCTCGAGCCTGGTCATCAGAAATTAATACAGCCAAGCAGAAACGCAACACTCTATACTCTCTATAGGAAGTGCTTCACAGTGTTCGCGGCCCTCTTCACAGTCCTCTCGAGAGCTGCCTGTGCGTGTTGCACTCCTAAACTATACACACACAACTGATGCGTGTCCCCACCCATGAGATATCCAGGACATGGGTACACACACTCGTCATATATATATATATATAGAGCTTTGCACAGACAAACACCACCAAATAAGACAGTTTCACAGAGAGCGCTTGCTGAAGAGCGAAAACTAATGTGTGTGTGCCAGCGTCACTTTTATGTGCCGTCATGTTATGTCATCACGCAACACCAATCAGGATTGGATTAGATTCATTCACACTTCAGAGGCGCACGCTAAGGGAGCATCCCCAAAGAGTCATTTTCAGCGACGCAGTGTGAGTTCCCTCGAAAGGGAGCTGCGTCAAATTAAACTGAGAGGGGTCATAGCACATCAAGGACCCATGGGAACCCTGATTTTACAGCAAAAACACTAAAAGATGATGTAAAGACTCACCTTGTCATTTCTTTCACACAGAAACTTGAGTCTTTGTGCTCTTTTGTGCATGAAAACTCCATCCAAGTGGCCTGTTTCTACAGAGCGGATCTCTATGGCCTTCTCTCCCCAGCCCATGATCTGGTTAGAGCGAATATAAGCTGCAAGACAAACAAAACAATACAGGTAAGAAATAACAATTTGTAAACCAATACACACTATCTGGTACCGTATAATAGGATAAATTCAGTCTCTCTCATGAGCTGCATTGCAGTGGTCCGAAACCCTGCTCCCGGAGACCCATTATCCTGCAAACGTTTATTTCCAACCTGCTTTAGCTCACCTGCATGTGTACGTTCAAGTGGTCCTAAAGAGCTTGATTAGTTGCATCTGGTGTGTTTGATTAAGGTAGTAGCTAAACTCAGCAGGACAGTTGGTTTTCAGGAGCAGGGTTGACCTCTGCTATTTTTTAATTAGATTTTGCATACAAGCGTTGATTAGGACAACATACAACAGTGACTACAATACATTTACAATACGGAATGGTCACAAGTGCCCCTAGCTATGAGCAGGTTGAGCACAGTATAGACAACATCACTTTCATCCTTCAGACTCAGTCTTCAGTGCAGGAGTCACCCTTCCTGTCTGCATGGGTTCTAGAGTAGGAAGAATAAACTAGCTGTCTTTCCCTCAAGTGAATATCCTACCACACGAAGACACATCTATCAGTGTTTCTAGATTTCACACAGCTGGTGTCTTATTCATCATAAGCCAATTCTGGGCCTCACTGTTCCAGCTGCTCTCCGCTGTGATGGTCCTAAACTGGATGGCGTATTCATCTACACTGCGGCTGCCCAGCTAGAGATGAAGGCAGGACTTGAACACTTCACGGCAGGAGACAGTAGCGTCAAATACAGGCTTAAACTTGGCACGGAACAAACACAAATCTGTCATGACAAGGAAGGAGAAAGGAGAGTCATGATTTAAGCCATATTTGACTGGTTCAAGGGGAAGGAGGATGGCTGAAGATCGAACATCAGGGTACACTGGGTCAGGAACCTACGACAGGTACTAGGATCACCAGAGAAACGTTGGGGGAAGGTTAGAGGCAAGGCTCTGTGGCCACATTGGGTATGAGGTGCTGGAGAGGATGGAGCCTCTGAAGAGTTGGGTGAGATGTGAGGAGAAAACAAGGAGTGTAACTGCCGGGAGACCAGGATTTTGGTAAGAGCACAGCCATGTATTGCCATTAAACCCTCCTTTTCTCTACTGCGCTCATCTCCGGTTATTGTTACTTGAACCGCCTGCCACGTTTAGGGTTTCACATGTGATAAATGCAGGGGAGATGGTCAGGCTGACGGAGAAGATTTCAGAACTAGAGACACGCATCCAAACTTTAATCGAGGATAGTAAGAATGCAAAGGCTCTGGATACTGCTTTGGATGCGACTAGATTAACGAACCCAGTACATTTGTTTGGTAATATGCTCTGATACATAGCAGACTGTCATAACTTCAAGTGATGTCTGCAGAATAACATCGGTTTCATAGACAATTGGAAAAGTTTTTGGGGCAGACCTGAGCTGTTTAAAAGAGATGGTATTCAGCCCTCCTGGGCTGGTGCTGCTCTTCTCTCTAGTAATTTGGCTCATAGTCTTGGAGATAAAACATGACAATCTGGGGCTCAGGTCAGGAAGCAGACAGACTGGCTAAACCGACCGTCTGCTTGTGGCCTCGCGTTACCAAGGTCAGATAAATCCCATCACATAGAGACTCTTTCACCTAGATATCATCATATAGAGACTGTTTCTGTTCCCTGAATTTGGAAATACACAAAACTCCTAAACCATTTTATTGAAGTTCAACAAATAAAAAGCAGATATAATACGGATCAACAATGATAAAGGTCGGGTAAATGAATATTAGATCCCTTACTTCAAAAGCACTAATTGTTAATGATATGATTTCAGATTATAACCTAGATGTGCTGTGTATGACAGAAACCTGGCTAAAACCAGACGATTACATTACTTTAAATGAGTCCACCCCACAAGATTACTGTTGAACGGTTAAACATGAACCTTGTATGAAGAGCAAAGGGGGAGATGTTGCTGTAATTTATAGCAATATCTTCAGAATTACCGAGAAGTCTTGTTTCAAATATAATTGTTTTGAAGTGTTGGCGCTTTAAGCTATCTAGTGTAAGTGATAAATCCCAATTGACATCATGATGCATTCGGAAAATCTCCGAATTTGATCCACCACGATGCATCGATTTACCGTCCCAGCCATGCAATTAAACATTTTATACATTTTAAAATCTCGCTGATTACTTACAAAGCACTACATGGTTTAGCTCCCTAGCACTTGAGCGAGCTCTTAACGCATTATAATCCTTCTGGCGGTAGATCCTTTTTCTATTTAGCGCCAAAACTTTGGAATAGCACGTATTGCAATAGCATTGTTTGACAAGCAGACACACTCACAGACTAAAATGCGGTATTATCCAGGTCAGACAAGTAATTGGCAATGTCACTTTTTAAAGAAAGACTACACGCCCGCGCATATATATTCAAACGTGCATACCTATAGACTAAAACACATAATATCATGTGGTCACCGTTTTCACAGATTCACATTTTTGAAGTTTACAGAGATGATAACGGTATTGTTTTCAAAATTGTGAAAAAAAATCTACAGAAAGAGCTACTGCCAGCTTTAAAGAGCACCTATCATGGATTTTTGAAAATGACTGTTCATGTAGTGTGGAATATAGCTCTAAGGGAATGAAAACATACTGCAAAGATTTATATCTGAAAGTGCACCATATATAAAGTTATTGTCTTTCAAAAGTGAGAGTCGACTCTGAGTCTATGAAATGAATTGTTTTTGAAACGAGTCATTAGCTGTTACATCGTGACGCAGATACAAAACATTAGATCATTGGCCGCTCCCAACAACTGCGCGGGCAGACGGAAGTGACGTCTAGAACACATTCAAATACTTCAGCTGAATCGCATCATGTCGAGAATACGCCGTGTTCTACATTGCAAAGACAGTTCAGCCACTTGTTTCCATTGTCCAGGGACGAGCATGTGAAGAATCAGTGGTCAGAGTTCTTATTTGCAACGATACCACAACAGTATAGCCCGAACCTTGTGTTCTCATCATTTTAATGACGAATCATTCAAAAACATAAATGAATTCAAATGTGGATTCGCAAGCCGGTTGTTCCTGAAGGAGGGCTCAGTATCCAGTGTATATGGATCAGGTTCGTCCTCCTCTGAATCACAATCTGTAAGTATTATTAATAATGTTTGCTGTTATGTTTTCTGTAGCATGAACAATATAGTTATATTGTGTTGTGTGCACTCCGCGCAGCTTCTAAGCGGGGTAAAGTTAGTTTTGTGTTTGATATTCACCAGACATTCACTGAAAAATGACAATTACCTCCTAAACGACTTAGCCAAATCTGACTTCGCACTATATAATAAGCACTGTCCCTCAAAAGCCGCCGCAATGAGTTTCGCCGGGAAAGCTCGCTCTTGACGGAGACGCGAGTAAGGGACCGTGTGGAAAGTGCACTTTTTCTGACACGTTTGTTCAAACACTATATACAATTTTCAACACTTGACGAGCTATAATCCTGGTTATGGGCGTTCCGTTGCAGACAGCCTCTGCCTACGGTTTACCAATAACAACTGACTGGGTCATTTGACCAATCGCCGCAGATTCGCGTCACTCAAAGGAGGTGTTTGGGAAAATGAATCGTCGAACGAATCATTTGGGAGTCGTTGAGCAAATCAGTTAAAAATAAATACATATTACAAGGCAAATAAAGTTTTTTTTATCCTTGCATGCACATTAAACTGTTTTTGGGAACTACTAAAACAAAAATAGGAACATTTCAAATGCTATGATAGGGGCTCTTTAAAAAGCTGTGTACACACACAGATTATAGACCATATATTAACTCCACAAACTAACTTTACAAGCATGGAATACAGTGATAGATTGACCACTGGACCACTCAACCTTTACACCAAGAAGAATATACAACACAACTTTGGACCAAGGAAAATATGATTATGTATTTCTGCTCATTGGACATCAACCCCAAGGCATACAATAATCATGTAGAGAGTTGAGGCGAATCAAACAACTTGATCAAATTAATCTCTCATGGGATTAATTCACATGGATTCAACACTCCAAAGGTTCTGGACACCACATTCCAAAGTCCCAAGGTGGCTCCATGTTGTCTGCAGAGAAGGACTTTTATTGCCCCATAGGCCCAAGAGATGGGCACTAAACAGGAAGAACGTGTCAATATGTTAATGGTTTTACCAAGACAAATCGGCTCAGAAATGGTGGAACAAGAGGCCTGACCACCAAAAGCCTGACCACCTTTGACCTCGCTCAACATCATCTCTGTTGAGCGGGACAAAGACATAGCACAGACCCCTACTCCTTAAACATACCATGACCTCACTGTTGAGATCTGAGATCTCACACATAAAATCATATAAACTCACCACAGAACAATTCTTGGACTTTTAATCAAACCTCACAATTCTCATTGCTTTCTGCAATTCATGTGTTGTTTGTTAATGCTTAGATCACATATTAATCAGGTAATTGTTGTTAACTATTAACTCTTGTAATTGATATACAACCATTAGAAATGTGAATGCCTCGTCTACTCTCAAACGAACCATATTTTCCTAATTCAAAAGATGGCTTGATTGAAATCTGTGTAAAATGCTTTGTTTTATGATTATAATATATAATCTTAAAACTGTGTTCTCTTGTTCTCTGCTAAATGCTGGAGACCAGGCATCTCACAGACCATCCATAAATTATGATAAGCAAGAAGTAGATCTACCTCCTAAAGTGATGCCATTATCTCATTGGCCAGAAGTTTCTGGGAGGTTGGACTGAGTTTTAAGTTAAAGACCCGAACAAAGGAACAAGACCTCATGTTCATGTGCAGATTGATTTTTGTTCGTGTTCAGTTCAGTTCGTTCAGTTCTGTAACTGTTAAGTTCGTGCCTCTTTATAACACAGCAAGAGAGTGTTCATGTTCGTGCTTCTCTCTGAAACAAAGAGGGTGTTCGCATGCTTCTACATCGACTACTAGACCAAATTCGACCAACAGACGA